ATATTGTAATTGAAGATGTTAATCAGGAAGAGAGAGAGAGAGAGAGAGAGAGAGAAAGAGAGAGAGAGAGAGAGAGATTGCTCAGGTAGCAGGGATTGGCTTCAATTTAGGTGTGACCTCTCAAATCTTTACCTCAGATTTCAACCCAACTTTTTTCCAAATGGTGGGGGGTGGGATAATAATTTTTATGTCAAATGACTTTAAAAGACACACACACACACACACACACACACACACACACACACACACTCACCACTCACATGATGTTGAAATGTTCTGCTGATTATTGATTTACTATGACTTGATATTATTTTTGTTTTTTGTACTGAGCTTTTAAGTGCTTCTTCTTTTTAGGTACTAAAGTTTAGATGACCAACTAAGTATTTGAAGCCATTTCACAAATAAGAGATTAAATTACATTTTAAAGGAATTTGAGCAAAATATAGTTCAACTTCTTTATTATTTTATACATAATACTTTTTAAATGCCCTTATACATAAATTAGGAGCTTAATCTATTTCTACTCAGTCTGAATAAAGACACCCTGTAGTAAAGAGAAGTGGCTTTGAGATAGACAATAAATAGCACGTGAAACTTATTTTAAAATTTTATCAAAATACTCACTTTCATTGCTATGCTGTATTATTTGCTTTTAAGTCTTTTAATATAAAATTTAGGTCTTTTAATATAAAATATATATTTCATATACATTTATATTTCTTATACATTTACTTGGTTACATAATACCATCATTAGAAAGAGACAGTCATGGGAAACTTAAAGTTTCACAGTATATAACTTTTTCCGTTTGATAAGAAGAAAGAAATTTCCTCATATACAGATGATTGAATTATTAGTATTAGATAATAGACTAATTGACTAAAACGTATCTTGGGCCTGTTGGTGTCATGGCTTCTTATGAAAATGGGCATGCAATGCTTTAACTTTTTAAATTTTTTTGAGTCAGAGTCTCACTCTGTAGCCCAGGCTGGAGTGCAGTGGCACACTCACGGCCACTGCAGCCTTGGCCTGCTGGGCTCAGGTGATCCTCCCGCCTTAGTCTTCCACCTAACTGGAACTACAGGCATGTGCCAGCATGCCCAGCTAATTTTTTTTTTTTAATTGTAGAGATGAAGTCTTGCCAAGTTTCCCAGACTGGTCTCAAACCCATGGGTTTAGTCAATCTCTCACCTCAGCCTCCCAAATTGCTGGGATTATAGGTGTGGGCCACCACCCCCAGCTATAATGTTTTATTTTTTAAGTTGACAAAATAGTTCTGTAAGAGATGCAGCACATATTAGTAATTATATGTGACCACAAATAAATAAACTTTTAGTAATTTTGAGCATACTATGGCTGATTTTTCTCAGGAAAAAAATATAGATTGCAGAGATAGTCATGTAGGTAAACTTTGCCAAATCCCAGCTCTCTCAAAGTCAAGTTCAGGATAAAGAAATTTATTCGTGGCCTTCAATTCAACTTCTAAATTCCCATATAGAAGTTTCAATCTCCTGTGTATTTAAAATAATATATGTCTTCAAATTGAAATACTCTATTTATTGTGTTGAATAGAAAAAGGAACCCATATTCCAGAAGCAACTCCGAAATACTCAGAAACAAATGCAATTATTGGTAAGTAAAAATGGCTTTTATATGTATCAGTATTTATGCCCAAGCCAGGACTTAATGAGGTCACAAAGCACCCAAAATTTGAAGTTAGTTTTAAACTTTTGTCCATTGTCCATTTAATCATTGTATGTTCAAATGACATCACATTTGTACAATTTTTTCTTCCCAAAAAATGTATCCTTGCACACAAATGTATATACATGCATAGAAATACTCATACATATAGAGAATTAATACAATTCTTTTAAAATTCTTTATACTCATTCAATATTAATGGTGCCTCATCAGACAACATTAGGAAAACTTGCTCTACAAAAAAGCAAAGAGGAGCAAGCAAACCACAACTTTTTTCTGTATAGTCCTCCCCATTCAAAACAATTTTCATTTTCTTGTGGGAAACAAGATGTTATTAATCTTGTTTTATTTTAGCCAGACTAGACAATTTTGGATACTCCAAAGAAGTATTCAGGTACCACTTTTAGTGAGTTGCAGCAGTAGTGAGAGAAAGAAAGCCCTGATTTAAGGCGGTAGCTGTAAGAATAGAACCTTTCAGTGATTTTGTTTTCCCTTGGGATACAAGTGCTTTCAAAAACAGAACAGGAAGGTGTGCTAATTGCTTTAAATAATTATGAATACTTTCCTCTGAATATTTTGTAGGTGAAGCTTCTACTTGGAGCAAGGGAGCGTATAAAGCTTTCAATGGCCGTATCTTTTCCTTTGAATCCTCGTGCACATACACTTTCTGCCGTCACTGTGTTGACTCTGGAGGAGACTTCAATATTGAGATCAAACGAAACAATGATAGTGAGATTGAAAAAGTAACAGTTCTAATTGACAATAATGACATCTCTATTTTTGGTGATATCATTTTGGTAAACGGAGAAAGGTAAATACCATAGTGTTTTGGATAAATAGAAAAATTATTTGAAGTAATCTGAGAAGAAAGATGGAAAGAAGGAAAGAAAGAAAGAGAGAGAGGAAGGAAGGAAGGAAGGAAGGAAGGAAGGAAGGAAGGAAGGAAGAAAAAGAAAGAAAGAAAGAAAAAGAAAGAAAGGAAAAGAAAAAATGGTTTCAATAGGGAGGCAATGGTACTCTTTCTGTTTTGGTGCTCATATGGATATTTTTAATACTTTATTGACAAATTTTGATAAATATATGACTTTGCTATATCTGTGATTTTAAGATATTATAAATATTTCTTTCAAGGGGAAAAATAGAGTAGTTTTGTTGTTTGACTATTGTGAGTATCTACAACATGTGTAGTCAACAAAACTGTTAGCAGAATATTTCAGATTTTATTTGAATGTTTAACACAATATAAATTTGAGGTTTTGCAAATTAGAGACTGAAGACTTTGAAACTCTTAGGCCATTACTTTAAGAAGGAGCAAGCCAGATTTGGAAAGGATGGCATATTTGAATACTTTCCAGGATAAGAAAATGAGGCACGATATTATTCTTGTGAATATTTCAAATTATTTGATTACTTTTTCTGACACAAAACCAGTGTTTCATCTTGTTCATTTTTCCAAAGCCCCTAGGACCTATTAATTATTTCTTAGATGTTCTTCCAGGGTTAGGAAATTTCACTGTTTCTCTTTTTTCTGAAATAAGGAAAACTTTAAGATTTACATGCCAATATTATATCATAAGATACTTAATATAGAAACACGAATTATCAGAAAAGCATGTTATAATAGTATCATTCTTACTTTTTAAATGTACTTATATTTTATTCTTTTCAGTGTACAGATACCATATAACAATAAGCTGATTCACATTAAAAAATATGGAGAATATAATGTTCTGAATAGTCGTAGAGGAATTCTGTCTTTACTGTGGGAGAAAAATAACAAACTCTCAGTAAGTTCGTCTATGATTTTCTTGTAATCCTGTGCTTTTGTCTTGTAGTTTAAATTATAAAAATAATACATTATAAGGAATGCAAGAGCCCAGATTCATCTGAGAAAGCTCTATTTTTAGTCACTATACTAAGCATTCCCTTATTTGATATTCAAAATACCTTGAAGTACATATTATTATTAATTTTATTTTGTTGATGGTGAAACTCTGGGAATGCAGGCTAAGGAAAGTTAAATATCTTCCCAAAGAATTGCAAATTATAGAGCCAGGTCTTTAGGAAAGGCCTTAGAAGGCATACCCTTAAGTAATCAGCTTAGCTAGATTTGAATTTGAGAAGACTCTGTCTTTTGGTTTGGGTAAATTTTGACTTGAGATATTTCCAATATTTTATAAACATATAAATGTAATTTTTCTTTTAAAGCTCACTCTTCACAAACAATATCCAACTTGTGGTCTTTGTGGTAACTTCAACAGCACTCCAGGTAGGATTTCAGTGGATTATTTCCATGAAAATTGCTTCCCAAAAGAAAATTGGGAATTAAAGTGTTCTTTATATTTGAAGAAATATGATTTGCCCTTGTCCAGTGTGAGAAAGTATTGAAGTAAAAAAATAAATTTATGTTGCCACATCCATATGAAACTTGAAAATACTCACATATGTAAAAAATTACTTAAACCAAACAATACTTTCCCTTTTAGGGCAAGATATTAATGAGCACATTGCCAATAATAAAATTCCTGGTGATTGTCCTAAAGCTGTTAGTAAAAGTTATGAAGTTTGTGAAGATGGAGTCCAGGTAAGAAATTTATATTTTATCTTGTAGCGAATTTCAGCATATTTTCTATGGCTTCTTTTTAAAAAAATAAATTTTATTGTGCAATATTAGGGTATAGAACATGATGTTATAGCATAGAAATAGATAGTAAAAAGTCCATTATGAAGGAGGAAATTAATATATCCATCATCTCACAGTTACCATTTTTGTGTGTGTGTGACAAGAACAGCTGAAGTCTACTCATTTAGCATGAATCCTGCATACAATATAATTTTTGTACCTATAGTCCTCATGCTGTATGCTAGATTTCTAGACTTGTCCAACCTATATATCTGCTAGTTTATTTTCTCTGGCCTACATCTCCCTATTTTCCACTCCCAGTCTGCTCACTCTGGTAATCACTGTTGTTTTATCCTTCCCCCTATCTCTGTATGTTTAAAATTTTTTTAAAAGTTTACACATACAAGTGAGATCATGTATTATTTTTCTGTTTCTAACCTGTTTCACTTAGCAAATGTCCTCCAGACTTATTCATGTTATAGCAAATGGCAAGATCTCATTCTTTTAAAAGGTTGGATAATATTCCATTGTGTGTGTGTGTGTATGTGTGTGTGTATGTGTATTCCAGTTTCTTTATTGATTTATTAATTGGTACATGCCAGAAGAGAGATTGTTGGGTCATATGGTAGTTCTATTTTTAATTCTTTAGAAACCTCTACTGTTTTGCATAATGGTTGTATCAGTCTACGTGCCCACCAACAGAATACAAGAATATCCTTTTCTCCACATTCTTGCCAGCATTTGTGATCTTTTGACTTTTTGAAAATAACCACCCTAATGGGTATGAGGTGATAGCGCATGGTGGTTTTGATTTGCATTTCCCTGATCATTAATGACATTGACATTTCATATACCTGTTGACCATTCTTTTTCGACTAATGAATTGTTTATGTTCTTTATTTATTTTGAATATTAACTGCTATCAGATATATGGTCTGAAAATATTTTTACCAATCTGTAGGTGTCATTTCACCTTGTTGGCTGTTTCCTTTGCTGTCAGAAGCTGTTTTGTATGTTGTACACTTGTTTATTTTTGCTTTTGTAACCTGAACCTCCATACTGTTTTGCATAATGGTTGTATCAGTCCATGTACACACCAACAGAATACAAGAGTATCCTTTTCTCTATGTCCTCTTTTAAGAGTAGTATATTTTCTCAATTTTACATCTTTTGTTAATTTTGAGTTGTGAATAGTATACGAATCCAATTTTATTCTTTTACATGTGGAAAACCAGTCATCCCAGCACCATTTAGTGAAGAAACTACCTTTCCCCATTGCGTCCTCTTAGAGTCCTTGTAAAAAATTAGCTGACAGTATATGTTTGGATTTATTTATGGACTCTCTGTTCTATTCCACTAGACTAGGTGTTTATATATATGTCAGTACCACACTGTTTTTATGACTATGGCTTTGTAACCCTTGGTTTCAATTTAGATATCCATCATTTTCTTCTAAGCACTCGTATCTTAATAGAATTCAGCAACTGCTTTCTCTCCAGTGTCCCATAATCTGTTTTTTAGCTTTAGTCTAACTACACATACTAAAATAATTTTCTCTCCAAACATTATATTTGTCATATATTAATATAGCGATTCTCATTTACTTTGCATAGTGTTTTAGTTTGTCTGTAAACTGATGTGTTTCATCTCACCATTATCTTTTGTTGGGTATTGACTTGACTTTTCTCTTCCAGTTTGAAAATGCTTATACTGTGTCCCACTCCTTCACTTTTGCCCCAGATAGCCAGTCTGAATTGTTATGTACCATATCTTTTACCTTCTTTTTGAAAGAGTTACTGATAGTAAATTTTTACTGAAACGCTTGAAAATAGTTGCCATATACTCCATGAATTTTCTGCACTTGTGTAATTCAATTATGTTGAATGTAATTGATTGTATCAATTTGATGATTGAATCAGTGTTTACATATCTCTATTCCAATCTGGAACAAAATTCTCCTGATCAAAAGATATGCGAATAGTATCAATAAAAGTTTTTTTGTGTTATTGACAGTGGGTGTTACACTTGTAGCCATCTTGTCATCTTCTAGCAAATTGAATTTAAGCCATAGATTTATATAAGATTATCTGCCTCTTCCTTGTGAAACTCTCCTTGAGCTTTACAGTTGGAATTGCTTACTCTTTCCTCTGTTACCTCATGCCACTCATTGGCACTTATATAAGATGTCATCTATAAAAATTGCCCATGTTTTTCTCATATGTTTCTCATAAAATCATGAGTTCTGTGATAACAGGTATTATGTTTTATCTGTTGTGATAGTTGAGCAGTATGTTGAGAACTTAATCTTGGTTGCTCAAAAATATTAGAATGAATATATAAATTTAACTTCAAACCAATGCATATTTACTAAAGACCAACATAGGTACAGTACAAGACACTCTGTTCGACCCATAGCATACAAAGTTGCATTCTTGCCCTAAAGAAATCTAGTGAGAAAAATGTGCAAAGGATCATAAATGAAAAAATAATCTTTGATTTTATTCCATTTAATTTATACTTCATTTGGAGAATGTCATCAGCCTTTCTTAAGCCTAATATGGTGGAAATTTTGCATTGTTTTGACTGTGGAATCTATGTTTCTCTGAAAACAAACATGTTGTTAAAACAGCTACATGGTGGTTGAACTATGTTGAAATTTAAACTCTTTTGATTCAATAATATATGTCTTTACTTCCTTTACTGACATAAAACAAGTATGTTATTTCCAAAGCAAACACATGGTTCCCACTAAAAAAGACAGAGTCACTCTATTTTATGATCATCTGTTTGCTCATCAAATACAAGCAGATTAACAGTTAAAGAGACAATATCCCTTCTGTCTATTGTGATATTCCTTCAGTTACCATCCCAGTCTTTGGCACTGACCAGTCTCTTCTCCTCTCACCCTTTTATTTTCTTTAGTTCTAAATTTCATGCCTCCTTTTAAGACATTTCGAAGAAGTTTTGGTACAACAATTTTGAAGTCATTACAACTATAGTACTTCAAAAACTTCCATTTCAACCAGTGTCCAACAAACAACTCTCCCATACAGGATAGTATGCAAAACCAAACAAAAACAAAAGACATCTGTAATTGTCATTAAAAAAAATTATCTTACTTTTTATTATTTTTCTTATTTTTTATTATCTGTTTTAACAAAACATCATGCTTTATTTTGTAGCACTGTAACAATATTATTGGAACATACTTTGAGATGTGTGGAAAGGTTGCCACTTTATCCAATGACTACAAAATGATCTGCATTGATGAGTACTGCCAAACTAGAGACAAAAAATCTACATGTGACACTTATTCAGAACTGTCCCGTCTCTGTGCCTCAGATGGTCCTGGCATATTTGAATCCTGGCGAAATGATTCTGATGTGGTTTGTGGTAGGTTTTTACCTTTATTTTAGATTACAAATCAGAAAGTTTCTATAGCACTTTGATGTTAAGCTGTATTTTAAAGTAATCTCAAATGATGCTAAACTCTGGAATGATCTTAGGAATCATGAAGACTTGTCTCTCACATGTACTTATGAGAAAACAGGACCGTTTGGGTAACATGACATCTCAAGTTGCAGTGCTTTGAGTTAAGTTCTTAAGAAGGCACTGTAGTCATTACAACCAGTAAAAGTCATGGTGACACATGAGTAAAAAATTTTGTAAAAAATAGGTAGAAAAGTTATCAAGAGTATACTGATTACTACTATGATTTTCTTTCAAAAATATTAATAAAAGTTATATATGAGCCTCATTTGAATTAGATAAAAATATGAGCATTATTTCACTATCAATATAATGTGAATGGAAAGCACACACGTGCCACTGAGAACCACAGTGACTTTCTTGTGTTTCTCCAGGCTGCTATACTTTTCCATTGGATTCACAGGGACATTTAGCCATTAATACACGCTTTCCTTTCTCTCCAATATCCTCCAATAAAATGTGAACAGAAAGCATACATGTACTTTCTTCATATGTGTAGGTCAATATTCATAGTAAAAATATCATATCAACTTCAACTTAAGATGAAATAAAATTATGCACAATACACACTTTCTCGAATAAAATATTGTATCATAAAATAATGCATGGGAAATTGGCATAATTTAGTTATGTTGAGTATCTTTAAATATTAACTTACATTTTGAAGATCAGACTCACAGAATTCCATTTGAAAATCTCCTCATTAGAAATTATGTATTCATTGCATTTATTTTCCTCTAATTTTTATGCACACATTTTCCATGATTCTTTAGAAAAACAAAGATGCCCAGAACAACATATCTATAAAGAATGTGGACCCTCTAATCCTGCAACTTGTTCTAATGTGGCTCCTTTTCAAGACAGTGAATGTGTGAGTGGCTGCATCTGCCCAGAAGGTAATATGCCTGTGATGGTATTTACACTGACAGATGAAAACACAGGGACTCAATTCTTTTTAGAATTGTGTCTCATTTGTAACAAGACATTTTAACATTTCAGCTATTCCTAATGTATCCTCCTTGCAACCTGCAGAGGAGGGTTGGAGAGAATTGTAGGGCTAATGTGTATTTCTGTCTCTACAGAACCTGAGGACCCTGATATTCCCCAGGATATTCTCTAGTTCCACACTGAGGTCAATTGGACTATGTTCTGTGGAGCAGTAACCCAGGCTCAGAAAAATGTCATCTATCCTCTTGCCAGTTCTCAAATGAGGGGCAATTGCTTAAACAAGAAATTAGTATTTTCAGTGCGTGAATGCACTTCAGAGAACTATCTTAAGAGTGATTCTACAACACACTACTGGACAGTTGACTGATGTTTATATAGTTTTGAGATTAACCTTATATTATGTATCCTAGGTTATCTATTGGATGATATTGGAGAGAAAGGAAAATGTGTATTAAAAGCTAAATGTCCCTGTGAATCCAGTGGAAAAGTGTATCAGCCCGGAGAAACACGAGAAGGTCCCTGTGGTTCTCAGTGGTATGTGTGTGCTTTCTGTTCACATTTTACTAATAGTGAAATAATGCTAATATTTTTTATCTAATTTGAAAAAAATTCCTAAATGCATCTTTAAAATAAAATTTTAAGATATAAAAAGAATCATTGCATTCTCTGTATTGCTGATGTTTCATCTTTTTTGTGAGAATGGTTTAATGTGTTCTTTATAATACAATATATGAGCTTTCTGTGTATCTTTAAAAGATAATGTTATTCACTATCTGAAATAGTGTTTTGAATAGTAAACGATTTAGTAGTTGAAAATATAGAGCAAAACATATTGCAAGAGTTTATTTACAATAATATGCCAATAATAATGTCCAATTCTGCCAAGAATGTTTAATAAAATGTATAATCAGAAGGAACTCAACACTTTTCAAATAATTTTATGTGTTGTAGATTGGTGAAGATAAATAATATATTTAATCTGCATTAAATTTTAACGTGTCAAAAGTTAGTGTAGATTATTTTTCTATTAGTTGAATAGCCAGCTTGAGTCTTCTTTTTGAGTTTAACAATGTACTGACCAGTGAAATTTACCCATTCTTCATTATGGCCTTTCTCAGAAACTCCACATTTCTGCAAGACTGCAAAAGACACTTCTAGAAATATATTGTGTCCTTAACACAGTTCTGTTCAAGAGAATGCCTATAACAGTTCTGTCCAAGAGAAATGTAATGTGGGCCACAAGTTTGATCCACATATATCATTTAACATTTTTTCATTGAAACATTTTTAGAAAGCAAAAAGAAACAAACAGGTGGAATTAATTCCAATAATATATTTCATATAACCCAACATATCCAAACTACTATTGCATCAGATAAAATTAATGTAAAATAAAGTTAATGAGAGATTTTAAAGTTTCTTTGACATGAAGTCTTCAAAATCTCTGTGCATTTTATGTTTTCAGTAGGTCTCCATTTTATTTATTTATTTTTTGAGTTGGAGGGTCTCCTTCTTTTGTCCAGGCTGGAATGCAGTGGTACAATCATGACTCACCACAGTCTCGACTTCCTGAATCCAGGTGATTCTTCCTTCTGCCTCAGCCTCCCAAGTAGCTGGGACTACAGGCGTCCACCATCACACCTGACCAATTTTTTTATTTTTACTTTTTGTAGAGATAATCTTGTTGTGTTGCGTAGGCTAGTCTTGAGCTCCTGGCCTCAAGTAGTCCTCCCACCTTGGCCTCTTAGTTTTGGGATTACAAGTGTGAGCCACCACACCTAGCCCAGATCTCAATTTGGATGAACCATGTTTCAAAAACTCAATAGCTCTGTGTCTCTGTACTGTATTGAGTATCACAAGTCTACAGTATGGCTTGTAACAGGTGTTTTAATACTACTAATAAAACATGTTCCATTTAAACAAATCCCTGAAATCCAGCTCACATGTTTTTATATGTTTAATTCACACAGAAATTACCATTTTAGTCAATAGAATTAAAGACTTAAAATACCAGGATACCACCATCAATGAGTCATTTTGTCAGAGCTGAGATGTTGGGTGAAAAAAAGCTTAACCAAACATTTTAGTCTAAGTTACAATCTTTTAGTGTTGTGATATTTATTTCAATCACAGAGAAAACACAATTGATGACCTTTAACATAACTGTTGCATTTTAACAGCACATGCCAAGAAGCAAAGTGGTCTTGCACTGAAGCATTTTGTCCTGGAAGATGTAAGGTGGAAGGAAGTTCACTTACCACTTTTGATGGTGTTAAATACAACCATCCTGGAAACTGTCAGTTCTTGGCCGTTCATGTATGTAATAACCTACAACACTCTGAAAACTGAGATAGACACAAAGCTATTTCTCAACCAATTTAAAATGCAATCTTCATCTTAAACTATTATTTAAAAAAATAAGAATGAAACAGCCCTCCACTTATTGGTTATATATTTCAGTATATGTTTTTTGTTACATATTAACATTGGTAGTCTTACCTATCAGTATTAAATCAATATTATCTGCTCTCTGAAATTTTTTTGCAAACAGCCTAACAAATAAATCCCTCTTTATTCATAATAATCTAAAAATCCTGAAAATTTATTTCATCCTTCTCTTTTTTTTACATGTTAACTACTGCTTCAAATAAAACAATCTTTTACATTCCATGTAAAAGCATGTTTCTATTTCAACATTATTTCTTTGAATTTATTTTTAGTTTTTATAATACAAGAGTACCAGTATAGTAAAGGGTATCTTTACATTTAAATTCTTTTCAGTACTAAAATTTTAAGTCATCTGAATTTCCATAAAATGTTGATCCCATTCTGTAGTTTGTACCTTTGGTCAACATGAGAATTAGTAAGTTTGTTTAATCCTCCTGGTAAGAAATGAAGATGAGCAGAATTTGTGATTCCTGAGGCGAGAGATGTGCATTAATGTCCAGTAAGCTGCAAAATGTAGTTGCTGCTACTTAAAGTCAGTTTCCAGAATGAGGCTTCTTGACTTCCTACCTACATAATCTATCTTTCCTTCTTTTTATACTCCTTCCTAATCCATGTGGATAGGCGATGGGGAAAGTGAAGAGGGCAAAATGTCAAAGCAGATGGAACATTTACTTCTTATGGATTCGAGATTTCTAGACTTTGAAATAAGAACTGGAAGCTAGTGTTTGACATTGACTTACACTGCAATTTTACAAGTTAAATATCAGTCACATTGGATTTAAATAGACATTTTGAACTGTCCTGAGAATAAACAAGCTATGTTACCTCTAATTTCTAATAGTTCCTACAAGGCATCACAATTCCCTCTTGAGAGAAGACAAAAACTACAGATAAAATTTTTGAAACTGATGACTGTGAGACTCTTATCAATTGTAGACAACATAGACATAGTTTATATAAAATACTTGAATCATCTATAAAACTCTTGGTGATCCTGAGACAGTACTGTGGACTGAACTAGGTTTCTATTCTCAAAGCATACTGTTGTATGTAGGAATTGTACATAGTTAAAATTCAAGCATGCATTGTGAATGAACCACATAGTAATAGTATGCAATATGTATTATTTTAATAAACATTTAATGAAATATATATTTTTTAACAGAATGAAGATTGGTCTATTAGTGTTGAGCTTCGTCCATGCCCAACTGGTCAGACAGGCACATGCTTAAATAGCGTTACAGTTGCCTTGAATTCTGTAAGTAATCAGCTTCCTAAGATATATACAGAAACAAATCATATCAATTATTTCACAAATTTGGAATTTTTGAAGTTGAAGAAAAGAAATTTTCCTATATGAATTAAAAGCATACATAGAGTTACACAGAAAAGTGATCAATTCTCTGGAAGAGCTGCCTAATTCCAAAGATACTGAAGTATATCAAAATTACCATAGATACGCAATTAATATGCTAATCACAGGTCAATCTATGCATTCACTGAACTGTTAAACCTCTGTGGACCATTTAAGAAGGATGACATTTGTTTAGAATTTTATGTATTTGGAATTAGCCTTATTAGTAGAAACAGACTAAATGGAAACAGAGGACAGCTAGTTTGGACTTGGGTACTTCCAAGCTGCTTGATCTTTGAAAATACAAGTTACTTTCTTGGGTTTCAGTGTCTGTATCTACAAATTGGGGTGAAGATTCCTTTACAATCTGCTACACAGAGTTAGTATGAGAAACAGTGAAGCAAAGTATGAGAAATGCCTTAAGAATTTAATCTTTTGATGCTAATAAATTAATCCAATAAAATTAAGTATGTCTTATGCCACAAAAATTCAGGTTCATATGCTACATTAAAAGATAATACTGTGAATTAATATGAACTAACAAAGTGTCTTAAATGTTAGTCTATTTCAGTTGACAAATACACATTCAACAGTGATGGAACAGTCACAAATGACAAGATGAGGAATAAAGATTATTACTATTCAGGTAAGCTTAATAATGATATTTAAAAATAAGTGTGATATGCAGTAATTTATTTCATTTTTTAAAATATTAAGTGTTCTTGTTTTAATGGATATTTAGAAATTAAAGTATTTTAAGAAATTAAAAACTATTGGCTATGTTGCTAGTCATGTTAATAATTATTTTTACAGATAAAATGCAGATCTTCAAACCAACTTCCTTCTACTTTCAAGTAGACACATACTTTAATGGAAAAATGCAAATACAAATTGTCCCTGTGATGCAATTGTATGTTTCCATGCCACCTAACCAATTCACAGACACTGTAGGTAAGTCCCCTCTGGATATATTTTTATTCTCAAGGCTCTAATGTGATTATCATTTATTGTAATTTTCATTGTTTCTTAATTAATAACACTAAACCATAAAGCATTTTGACTTAGTCTTTCATTCCACTTTATAGTAAAATAATTCCAACTTGCTTTTAACAGTAAAGACAGCTTTATCTATAACAAAATTCATTCTATTTCCAAATGGAATTAATAATTTAAACATTTTAAAAAATTTTAAGTTGAGACTTATTTAAGTGAGATTTGACATAAGGTATGTATTTGCTAGTATACATTAGTAAGGCATTGACTTATAGTTGAATAAATGTATAGATATACATGTCTCTTGAAAATACCATTTCAAATATAAGCTGCATAATTACTTGTCTTTCTGATAGATCACATGGTCATTTCTCATTTATTTTATTGAGGTTTTCTAATATAGAAATCAGCTCTTACATACAACCATGGATATTGAATAAAATAGGCAAGACAATTATGGAAAGTCCTGAAAAAAGTTATTAAATTATAAATGGTTCAAGTTTTTGCAAAACACTTTTACTTGTGAAGGTAACTTATTTACACACAGAAAAAAATGTAACTCATGGGTCAGGAGGGTCCAGGTAAAAAAGGCATATAGCACTTAAGGTGATTCAACTCTCCATATGGAAACTACGAAAATGTGAATCATGAGTTCTTAATTGTAAGCATGCTTCCTACTACCTTGTCAAAAGAGATAAAGTTACAGTGATGAATAGGAGAAACATAGTATCCATGGCAAAGAAGTGTTTCACTACTATTGAAATTAGAATAAAAGGAAATTTGTATAAAATCTGGGTGTTGTATTTTATTTGTATCTATAACGACTAGCCAAGACATATTCTCAGTTGGCTTCTACATGTTTTAATTTGAGCAAAAAATTGAATAAAAAGTGAGGACATGAATTTAAAAGTTATTTAAGTGAGACATTTAAGCTTTGTTCTGTGCTACTATACAGGACTCTGTGGTTCCTATAACAACAAAGCGGAGGATGATTTCATGTCAAGTCAGAATATATTGGAGAAGACATCTCAGGCATTTGCTAGTTCTTGGGAAATGATGTCCTGTCCTAAAGGAAACCCCTCTTCATGTATCAGTATAGAAAAAGGTAATGCTAATTGAACATCAAACACTGTGATTAAATATGTGATTCTAAGAATTATGTCCTTATTCTGGTAATAACATGACCTCATCAGATAAATCTAGTTTTTGCTAGTGTTTGTTGTACTGCTCCAATTTTAGAGGAAACAGCAAAGGAGCAGTCTAGCTGATTGAACATACTAGAAAATGTATCTTTCACTGAGTGGGTGTTCTTCTCATTTGTCTTTCTATACCCACTCTTTCCCTCCATATATAGTTTTCTCCATCATCACCTAGATCTCCTAGGTTTTACTTAACCCCTCCTTTAATTTAGTTGTAAAAGTGATCATTGGTTGAAATAGCAAGACTCACACAAACTTGGTGATAGAGCCATAGCTAGGTCCAGGAGTCCTAACCATTGTTGTCATGTATGTTAGCAACACCAAGTCCCAATATAGATCTTGTTCATTAAACTGTACATTGGTATGACTCAGTTTATGATTCAGCTTACCAAGACTTCCATAAATATTGGTTCAGTTTATTCCTACAAAAAACTCATAAATGACACGACAGTGGATGGGGTCATTAATGTAGATGTTGACAATGGAGCCCAGAGAGGGTGTGCTTAATGAGGATTACATATGAAGTCGCAGTCCAAGAATTTGAATTCAAGTTGTGCTTTGATTGCTCCCCAAGTATTGTTGATACTAATGAATGACATTTTGTGTTGTTTCCTTCATAGATAAGGAATGCAATGAAGCTAAGTTAAAATACATTCTGTAGATATACTGATTATTTGTTTCTAAATTAATCCATATATTTGAAACAAATAGTCTGATAAGATTATAACAATATTTTAAAATTACTAAAGCATTTTTTTGAAAGCATTGTCTACTAATTTTGATTTAAAAAGTAAATTGTTAGAAGCATTAATGTAAACATGACAACACATATTTCAGGGATTTGACTATTGTGTTATCTTTTTTTTGGGAGATATTGGTTTTGCAGTGAAAACCAATATAATGAAAATAGATGAAAAGAATGTATAGCTCATAAGAAACCAAGCCAGTTTATGTTAAGCAGATTATATGCCATACTTTGTAGAGTTATGTAAATTAATTAAATTTAATTTCAAGGTTTTATATTTAACTTTATAACATTAAATACAGAAAATTAAATTGTATTTTAATAAGCTGTTAGAAAATTTACCTAAAAAGTGGTGAAAACTGCTTACCAATTTGTCAAAATTTTGGAAATAACTGGTCTCTGTCTTTTTAGTAGATTCAGCTTCCTCTGTTGCTGAAAATCATAAGCAAAGTAACTGTTACTCAGATGCTATTTTTATGAATTTATTTCTGTGAAATTAATACTATGCTAGTTGTTTATAAGCTAACTAAATATCAATTAAACACTTTTCAAAAAATAAAATTAGTGTTTTAGAATTATTGGTACTGGTTGTCCCAATATATGACCTTCAGAAAAACTCATATGATCTTCCAGGGTGTCAGGGGTAGGAAAAAGAGAGGTGTTATCACATTTCAGAGAAAGGTTAATTTTATGCAAAAATCCAAAGTTAACAAAAACTTTGATTCTTAGTGTAAGGTGCTTCTAAATTGTGTCATGCTATTTTTGTATACAGTGGCAATAAATTATATTTATTATAACAAAACACTTTAAAGTTATTCTAATAAGATAAAACTTAAAATTGTACATCTTTTTAAATAAAAAAATTACATTAATTGATACTAATTTTGGGTGCAATAATTTTCTTCCAGAAAAATTTGCTGAAAGGCACTGTGGAATTCTTCTTGATTCAAAAGGGCCTTTTGCTTCCTGCCATCCAATTGTGAACCCTAAATCTTATCATGAGGTATGTGAGGGTCTAACATTAACAGCCTTTTTTTGGGGAAATTCTTTGATTATCTTGACAAAAGCATGTAGATATTATATATTTTCAAATAGTAGCCATTGTCAATAGATCAAAGTATGTGCTTAAATTTAACATTAGATTCTATTCATTTATTTGTTAAATATGCAATTAAAAAAATGCCCTACCTGAAAAATAACCCCAAATAAGAAAAATCTTGAATAATTTTCTCTTTTTGCCTTTACTGTTTTCTGACAAGGAGGTAAATAATTCTTTTGTTATTTTGAATATTTAAAAAATATTTCCAAGCCAAATTTTTATGATGTAGAGGAGTAGCTATGAGCTGAATTATTATACCCAGTTTACCTGCTCTTTGAAATAATATCATAATACAATATACATTTGTTTCTTATTTTAAAGGAATGCAAAAAATATACGTGCAGTTGTGAAAACAGTCAAGACTGTCTATGTACAATTTTAGGCAACTATGTGAAGGCGTGTGCTGAGAAGGAAACAGACATAATGGAATGGAGAACTGGACAATGTGGTAAGCAGGAGAGAGGCGTGAGATAGTCCACTTCCTTCCCAGTTTCTCTATAGTCACCTGTATTTGTGTGTGTGTGTGTGTGTGTGTGTGTGTGTGTGTGTGTGTGTGTGTGTGTATGTGGTTTAGGCAAATGTATCGACAAATTTGTACCTCGTTCTTTCAAAGATGGTCTTTCTGTGTTTTAAAAAATATCTTTGAGCACTCCTTGCATTTTTTTACTTCATTTATTTTTTACTTTGATTTAAAATATTCACATATAAACAAGAACAGAATATCTATTTGTATGTGAATACATTTCTGTTTATTATCTGCCAAAATTTTGTATGCTGACTGCTAATGCATTTGTAAATAATATTCTGATATTAATAATTTATTTTGAGAACAAATAAAAATAAATCAGTGAATTAGGAGCTCAACTATCATATTTTAAAAATCTTGCTTTGTTTTAAAATATTCATTGTAGTGTTTGAATATGATTTCACAAAAAAATTACTTGATTTACCAAAAGAAAAAAGACAAAACCAAAAGGCAAACTTGGTAGAAACACATCTCTTATAGATTATTCTTGACACCTCATAGCCCATATCCAGCTAACCAACAAGGTGTGTCATGTTTATCTCCAATGCCTCTTTCAAATCTGTTCACATCCCCCTATCTCTATTGCCATCAACCTAGTTCCAGAAACCACCATTTTTTTTTCCTGCTGGATGACTGCAATAGCCTCTTTCATTATCCACTCTCAGCTGCCCCCTAGTCCATTTTCTTTTCTTTTCCTTTTTTTTTTTTTTTGAGTTGGAGTCTCACTCTGTCGCCCAGACTGGAGTGCAGTGGCTGCTCCCGGCCACTGCAGCCTCGACCTGCTGGGCTCTGGTGATCCTTCCGCCTCAGCCTTCCAAGTAACTGGAATTACAGGCGCGCGCTACGACACCTGGCCATTTTTGATTTATTGTAGAGAAACCAGGGTAATCTTGAAATTGTACAATTCAAAATAACTTTATCATGGACTCTCCAGTCAAAAACCAAGTTGATGGATTCTCATTGCTGTAAGGCCAAAGACCAAACTCCTTAAGAGGAACCCTGTAAGTTCTAACCACTGATTCTGTCTCTGACCTTGTAGCTTCTATTCTTCTATGTGTCTTTGAAATAATCATCCTACCTTCTGACTTAGGCTGTTCCCCAGACATAAAATGGCCTCTTCCTGCATTGCCTTCCTGGTCTTCATTTACGGGCTCTTTTGACTAAGTATAGATCCTTAGCTGTACATACATATGCTTCCTATCTTGTTTTTTCATAGCAATCCCACTATTGTCTTTCCACCAGAAATATAGGCCACATGAGAGTAGTGTATAGCCTCTCCTGTTTGTGGACTTGATTCCCAGAGGAGTGCTTAAATGTACAGTATGAACTCAATATTAACTGAAAACAAAACAGAATGAAAAAGTCCAGCGAATAAGCACCTTTTTCTTAACTCATAATCTCAATTATGACTAGTTCACCACAATATCTATGAACATTAAGTTGAAGTAAAGTTGTTTATTTTCCTGAATGTATACATATTCATTATTTTTAATCTCCATACCAACAGAACACTCTTGTCCCAGTGGCCTAATTTTCAAGTACAATGTCAAAGCCTGCAATAGTTCTTGCCGATCATTGTCTGAGAGAGATAGGAGCTGTGATGTAGAAGATGTTCCAGTTGATGGATGCACCTGCCCTGATGGAATGTACCAGAATAATGAAGGACACTGTGTTCTGAAATCTCAGTGTGACTGCTACATAAATGACGAGGTTATGCAACCAGGCAAACTCATCCATATTGATGATAATACATGGTATGGAAATCACATATACACTTGTTATGACATTGAAATCAAGGGACTGCATCTTTTTCAGAGAAATGGTCTTTTACTAGTAAGAAGCAAAGACCTACTATATTTTTGACTTTTCTATCTTAGGGTTAGTTATTGTCACTTTTATTCTGAAGGGTTCACTGCATCATAATGGCTATAAATAATTTATCCTACTTTCATTTGGTTTTAAACATGAGTGGAAAGGTATTCTGGAAACTCCTATATACTATCAATGCAAAATTATTTTATATTCAGACAATACTTTCTAGCTGTCTCTTGGCATTCATCAATCAACACCCATTAAGTATCATTGTGTGCCAGGTCTTGTGCTGATTGCTAGAGGTAAAAAGACGAATGAACATTGTCTTCAACTCACAGGGTAAGCAGGGTGCTGAATATTAAAAGGAGATTTGTACACTGCAGTAGAAGGCACCATTCACTACCTGAGGATTTTAAGAGAAACTTCCAAGAGGAGACTAGCATGCGAATTGTCTTAAGGAATGGGCTGGGCACAGTGGCTCACCTCAGTAATCCTAGCACTTTGAGTTGCTGAGTTAGGAGAACTGCTTGAGGTGAGAAATTTGAGACTACACTGGGCAACATAGCAAGACCCCCATCTCTACAAAAAATATAAATAAATAAATAAAATTATCTGGGCATGTGCCTATAGTCTTACCTACTCAGGATGCTGAGGCAGGAGATCGATTGCTTGAGCCTAAGACGTTGAGGCTGTAGTAAGCCATTATTGTGCAGCCTGCATGACAGAACAAGATCTTGTCTCAAAAAAAAAAAAAAAAAAAAAAAAGAATAAATTGCCTTAAGGAACGAATATTTTTCTAGACAAAATTGAGATGTGGAGGATAATTTCCTATACAATAAACAGAATGCACTAGTGTAGGAAATGTTTGAAAAAGATTTACACGTGTGGTTTCTATCATATAAGAATAGGCTATAAAAACATGGAACCAACCATGTTGCCCATCAAGGTTGGACTGGATAAAAAAAAATGTGGTACATATACACAAGGGAATATTATGCAGCCATAAAGAATGACACATATATGGACTTTGCAGCAACCTGGATAGATTTGGAGTTGATCATACTCAGTGATTTATCACAGAAACAAAGAACAGAATTCCATATGTTCTCACTAATAAGAGGAACTTGAACAATTATAATGCTATAAGAAAGCGATTGGCAGTAATGGGAAACTGTTGAGGGGGGTGGGATTGGCAGTTGAGGGAAACTGCTAGGGGAGGGAGGGATTTACCTCATTAACAGGGATAACTGCATGATCAATGTTTGTATACCTAACGCTGAACTGTACCCCATATCTTTACAATAAAAATTTTTTAAAAAAGACTAGGCTACAAACATGGACAGTGGCCAGGCCATGCCCAAGAACTTGGATTTCATTTCTGAAGAGTTGAAGTATCTTGACTATTTTGTAATGACTGAGAAGGTTGTGATTTCTGCAGTTTGGAGAAATCTAACCATGTTTCTATTGTAATCATGTGTCTAATTCATAGATAGACATAGGAATTCTTGACAACGTAACCACAAAAATGAAATGGCAACTGCAAAGTACTTTGGATGTGCCTTCTTTCTTTTCTTTGATTTTGTGAATCTGCCATTTACCAATAAATAATTTTTCTTGGCCACCCTAAATGAAATGAAAGCATAGGTAACCCCTTTCCATCAAAGTCTAGAAACATTTAGTTGGGATTTGATAATGACACTTTCTTTTCTTCTGTAGTTGTTGAGGAGTCACTAGATTAACTTTTTAATGAATCTCAGGCTAACACCTCCAAATTCTGCTTCTTTTTACCAAGACTATTTCAGAGCCTCCATTAGCTTTTGCTGACACTACTGTGATTGCTAACTTTGTTGCTTGTTGCTCTGTCTCTGTCTCATGTTTCCTCTTGGGGCAAGAATGTCTAAGGTCAAGTATTATTCTGATTGTGCCCCCTCCCTGCTCAGAAGCTTATCTGACTGAAAGTTGCCCAAAGAATAGAAACAAATTTGCAAGTCATTTAAGGCCATCTAATATCTGACCATGACCTTCTTATACCATTTCTCCTTATTCTATTTTTTATCCAAACATGACTCAATGAGATCACTGGAACTTATCTTGTTCCTATGATGTTCCTGCACAGTTTTGTGTCTTATCAGCAGTATCTGTTGAATCTTACTATTCCTTAAGACACAGCCATCCTTTCCATGAAGTTTCCTTTGATGTCCAAAGAAACTCGTTTGCATGTTCCTATAATACGACAAGGCTATATCTTAGAAGTACTTTAGTACAATGAACACATCTTCTGGGGACTGCCTCATTCGTCTAACTTATTGTCCTTGAAATTTGATGTTTAAATGTATAACTCTGTTTTATTTCCAGTGTCTGCCGAGATGGAATTCTTCTTTGCCAGATTCCTATTGATTTAACCCTACGTAAGTGTTGAAGTCACAGTGTAAACTCAAAATATCTACTTTGACTAAAACAGATTAATAGACTCTTGATTCACAACAACTTTTCTTATTATGCAGAAAATTGTTCTGGAGGGGCTGAGTATGTAGACTGCAGGGATCCCAAAGCACAGAGAAAAACTGACAGAACATGTAGCACTCGGAACATTCCTATTCTTGATGTAAGTAACATGGCATTAGAGTTTAGATTTTGGAAACTATCAATTGTTTCAGGGCATAGAAAAACTAAAATTTCAATGAAAAAATAATTAGAATGTCATGTTATATTCATGTATTATTTTCACTTGTCAAATGTTGACTCCAAATGGACACTTGCTATATGTATGTATTTAAATGAGTACTGAGAATGTGACATGATTAGAACAGTGTCTTAAGGTGTATATTTTATATTTATTCCTGTAGGAGAACTTGTCTTGTAAACGTGGGTGCTACTGTCCAAAAGGAATGGTTCGAAATTCTAAAGGGATATGTATCTTTCCTGATGACTGCCCATGCTCTTTTGGTGGACGAGAATATGACCAAGGAAGTGTCACTTCAGTTGGCTGCAATGAATGGTGTTTAATAAAGGATTAGTATTTTATTTGTTTTGGGTATTAGAAAATTTACTGTCTATTCTTATTTCATGGGAAAGAAGAAGTCATACTTTGGGATGTTTGAAAAAAATAATGGCCAAATGTAGTTAGAAAAAGATGGTATTTTCTATTAAACTGTACGTAGAATTATATATAATGAGAATTATACACTATAATGAAGAAAACTGCAAAATTCAAATCAATAAACAACTTCATTTTGTTCTTCTTTACAAAAGCAATATGTGTGTATGAATCCTAGGATAATATAATCACCATCCTCTTTCATCTTGTCCTTTTAGTACTTGCATTAAAGGATCTTGGAGCTGTACACAAAATGAATGTCAAACCACCTGCCACATCTATGGAGAAGGTCATGTTAGAACTTTTGATGGGAAAAGTTACAGCTTTGATGGTCTCTGCCAGTATTCATTTCTTGAGGTGATTATGAGTGTGTTTTATCACAATTTTTCTTTACTTCTTAATTATTTATTTGTAGATGAGTGCTGGAGAATTTCATTTTCAAAATGGAAAATATACAAAAAGACTCCTTATACATTTCTAGAAGGCAATAAAGTGTTATGCCATATAATGCTATCTTTTGAGGCTTTAAATTTTGATGCTGGCTTCAACATTTATTAGTTGTATGATGTAGGACACACTTCTTAATTTCTCAGTGTCTCAGTTTCTATATCTGTAAAATGGGTCTTACTTGAAACCTAACTAGAACTCAAATTGGAACACATACTAGTGCTCAATAAATATTAGATACTATTATTTTGACAACAGCATTAGCAGCAATAATGACAGTTATCATTTTATGAGTGCTTCTTTGCTAAGTGAATTCATATATTTCATTGCATTTAATCATTGCAATATAAGCTTGACATTACTATTCCTATGATGCAGATGAAGAAACTGAGTTTAGAGAGGTTAAGCAGCTTAAGCTACCAAACAAAAAATGTATATTAAACATAGACTTGTCTGATTCCAGAGTTCATGCTTATTGCATGCAACTAAGCTGCTTCCTTAGTAACATTTAAGGGGTATATTTGGATTGTTTTGTATGTATATATGAATGAAAACTACCTTTATTTAGCTATTTGCTGAGACTAGAAAACAATCTATGGTTAAAAATATATATATAATTTAAATAATTATATATCTATGATATAATTTTAAACTTGTGCAGAAATGATGTAGCAAGAACTAAGTCAAAGCATATTAAGTAGAGTGGACTCCACCAAGGCTACCTACCTGTAAATGTATTTAAATAATTGTCTTTTGAAAATTCCATAACAGCATATGGTGACTTACTGAATTTATAAGAAATATTCTTAGAATATTTGCCTGACACAGATATTGTAGTTGAGTTCTATGTCCTGGATATTCATAAACTATTATAATTTAATTTTTAAGGATTATTGTGGCAGTGAAAATGGCACATTTCGTATTTTAACTGAGAGTGTCCCATGCTGTGAGGATGGGCTTACATGCTCAAGAAAAATCATAGTTGCTTTTCAGGTATAGTACTAATTCTCTTTATCATCTATCTATATCTATCTATCTATCTATCTATCATTTATCAATCATCTATCATCTATTTGTTTATTTATGTATTTATTTGAGTCAGTGTCTCACCAGGTATAGTACTAATTCTCTTTATTTACTTGCTTGTTTGCTTGTTTATTTATTTGAGTCAGGGTCTCACTCTGTCGCCCAGTGGCATAATCCCATTTCATCACAGCCTCGACCTCCTGGGCTCAGAAAGTCCTTCAGTCTTAGCCTCCTCGCTAACTGAGACTACAGGCAAACACATGCCACCATGCCCATCTAATTTTCTGATTTTTTTTTTTTGTAGAGACAATGTCTCGCTATGTTATCTAGCCTGGTCTCAAACTCCTAGGTTCAAGTTATTCTCACTCCTTGATCTCTCAAAGTGCTGGGATTATAGGCATGAGCCACCATACCTGGATGATTTACTTTTTAAAAATCATATTGTGAGGAGAAATATAAAACTGTTATTGTAAGTCTGTTCTTTTAATTTACAGGATCAAAATGTTGTCTTGCAAGATGGTAAAGTAACAGCAGTCAAAACTACAGAAAGTAAGGAATGCGAACTCAATGCAAATGCATACTCCATACATACTGTTGGTCTGTACTTGATTCTGAAATTTCTAAATGGAATAATTGTGATTTGGGACAAAAATACAAGGCTGTCCGTTATACTGGATCCAAGCTGGAATGTATGTATATCAATAACAAGTAAATAATGGGAAAGCAAAGTCATTTCTAAATATTAGAGACAGATATTGATAGGTGGAAAGTGAGAGAATGGTAGGGTCTCATGTTATAGTAATAAGCCCTTCACTTCTCTTCAGCTTTATCATGAACTATGAGATGTAATCAAAGATGACAAAATCTGGCAAAAAAGTAAATGCAATAAGACTAATTTAACCATATTTTGTCACTTTGAGATTATCATATAATATGCTTTTAAGGGAGTGGTATATTTTAAATCAAATGTGTTCCGTGGAGCAAATATTCTAAAAACCTGAGTGTACCTATGCATAATTTGAAACTAACAAATTGTTTTTGGCTCTTAAGGCATTTATTCTAGTAGATAATAGATCATTCTGTGATATGTGATACCTTAAATGAGAGCAGAATTTTATCTACAATTTCTGGGTTCTTCCCAAAATTTGGCACTTAACATAGATTCATGATATAACATACACAATCGTGATATTTTGTCTATCATGGTTTTTTTTTTCTCTCTGCTTCTGTCTCTGTCTGTCTATCTTTGCCTATCTCTTTCTTTCAATATCCCTAGTACAACTCATTTTTAAATTTCCCTTTATGATCAATGCAGGGCAAAGTTTGTGGTCTTTGTGGAAATAATAATGGTGATCTCAAGGATGATTTTACAACAAGGTACTCATCAGTAGCTGCAGGAGCATTGGAATTTGGAAACAGTTGGAAAACCAGTCAAGAATGTTCAGACACAGTAACTCAAACTTTCCCATGTGACTCAAACCCATACTGTAAAGCCTGGGCTGTGCGGAAATGTGAGATCATCAGAGACAGCACCTTCAGAGACTGTCACAACAAGGTAGCACTGCTCTGAAAGCAACTACTTGCACAGTATTTTCACCCAGACTCACGTGCTGTGCTCCGCCTAGGTGGACCCCAACGTTTACTATGATGCGTGCATTGAAGAAGCCTGTGCGTGTGATATGGAGGGGAAGTACCTTGGATTCTGCACTGCTGTGGCTATGTATGCAGAGGCGTGTAGTGCAGTTGGAGTCTGCGTCTCATGGAGGAAACCAAATCTGTGTCGTAAGTGAAGTCCATATGTTGTTGTTCTTTAAAAACGTCATTAGATAGAATTGTTTTGTTAGACAATCAATCTTCCTCTCCTATTTTCTATGAAACACATGTTCTTGTACCTAGAAAGTCTTAAAAACATGTTAATATTTTTATTTAAGATGTGAAAAATACCTAAACTCAAAAAATACAGCACCTGGCACCATGCTTCATGCTTAGTTTTAGTTTCAAAAATTCTTGTGTTCACAATGAGAGAAATGAATACTGATGGAGAGTATTTCTCGATCATGATTAGATGAACAATGAACTGTTTACATATCTTAGTATATTCATATATCCTGAAATATTTACCACATATATTCCTTTTGCTTAGAGTTCTCACACATTGTTTCCTTGAAACATTTTATAGAGCCTTATTGAAGATGAACTGTAATGAGTGTAAGCTGAATACTAATATATATGGAATGTGATTACATTAATATAACTTAGTGTTTTTCCTTCTAAGCAAGGTAGTATGAGAAAAAGGATAAGAAATGCTAAAATAAAATCTTCATTGTATTCTCTTTATTATACTCAGCATTATATTACATTGACACCTTTAGTTACCTCATTTAAGAAATGTTGTTTAAAAATTTAAAAAGTTTAACTTTCTAAGATGTATTTTTCCAATGTAAGCTTGAAATTAAAACCATGAATCTAGACTATGACCTGAAATATCTCCAAACAGGGAAATTGATTTTTACCTTTCCACCTCAAACCAACCTTAGTGTGAGATGTCGAAAGAAAGTGTTATTTTGAGTTTATACGGCCCCTTTTTTGGGGGGAATCTATTGTATTTTCACTTATAAGCCATGTTAGATAAGGTCAATGGAACTTGACAAAATAGAATGATATACTTTAGGTCAGTTTATTGTTAGTATCATCCAAAATTTCTTTAAAATTTTTTTGGAAAATGAAAATTGTCATATGATTAAAGTAATTTTATATAATCCAATTATAGCTGTCTACTGTGATTATTACAATGCACCTGGAGATTGCAGCTGGCATTATGAACCTTGTGGCACAGTAACTGCAAAAACATGCAAAGATCAGGTCATTGGTCAGAAATTTTCTTCACTTTTAGAAGGTAAGACATTTTCATTTTATTTTATTTTTTATTTTTAGTTTTGAGTCAGTGTCTCTCTCTGTCACCTAGGCTGGAGTATAGTGGCATGATTATGACTCACTGTAGCCAAGTCACCTCCTGGACTCAAGTGATCTTCTTACCTCAGCCTCCTGAGTAGGTGGGCCTATATGTGTGGGCCACCACACCTGCCTTTGTGTGTGTGTATGTGTGGAGATGGGTCTTGTTATGTTGCCCAGGCTGGGTCTCAAACTCCTGGGTTAAAGCAGTTTCCCACCTTGGCCTCCCAAAATACTGAGATTACAGGCAGAAGCCACTATGCCTAGACTTTTTAAAAAAATTATTTTGAGTTGAGGTCTCATTCTGTCATCCAAGGGAACAATCATGGCTCACTGCAGCCTCACACTCCTGGGCTCTAGCAATCCTCCCACTTTAGTCTCCCAAGTAGCTGGGACAACAGGCGTGGGTCACCATGCCTAGCTAATTTTGTTTTTTGTAAAGATGAGGTCTCATTATGTTGCCCAGGCTGGTCTTGAGCTCTTGGACAGTAAGACATATTTTAAGACTATCCACAGAGTAGTGCAAATGATATTGGTCTTTTAAAACTAAAAAATGTTAGTTTATCTCAATTCAATGTTTTCAATTTTGCGATTTAATGAATACTTAGCTATCTTTATTATGGCACCAATATTTCTATACTAGAAACATTTTCTCTAGACATAGATTATTGGTTATTGGTTTAGTAGGAGACAGAGAGAGAGAGAGAGAGAGAGAGAGGACAGTGCTATTTCCTATTGACAATCTTTATATCTTTCACTAGAAAATATAGTTTGGTGAGAATGCGGTTTCAGAATGTGACACATTATACAATCTGGCTTCAATAGTGACCAATTAGCTATATCACACTTAAACAGAATTTTATTGTTAGAATTATATATGTTTAGAGAAAAAGAAAAAGTGGCAAGAAAACAGGATATTGCAAAAATTTTCCAAAAGTCACATCTGTGTTAAATTCTAGGTTTGAGTATATTATCAGCCCATTTTATTATGACTTCTGTATCTTATCTACCCTTCCATAGATAGATATTTGGGATTGGCATTTACATTTTAAGGTATGTATTTACCAGAGCCTGTTTTACATTCAGCTTCATGCTTGTTATTAAAGTAGCAAAACATTTAAAATACGTTAGGAAACATTGTAAAAAAAAATTTAAATTGACCAAAATTTGTAACTTCTTAGGCTGATATTTCACTGTAAGAGAATCTAAATTTTGTTTTATTTAGATATTTTCATTGTGAGTGTGATGTTGTTTTTCTATTGTCTACTTCAGTTCATGGAAGCATTTAAGTCACTTTGCAAATATGTAATGCAGTATAGTGAGTATCAGTAAATAGAAATGAACTGTGGGCTGTTTGTACATACAGGTTGCTATGCTAAGTGCCCAGACAGCGCTCCCTACTTGGATGAGAACACCATGAAATGTGTCAGTTTATCTGAGTGCAGCTGCTTCTATAATGATATCGTACCAGCAGGGGGAGTGATCCAAGATAACTGTGGAAGAACATGGTATGTTCTCTACTAACTTTTTCAATAAAAATCTGATTTTTGTATTTTAACTTAGGAAAAAAAAGTGAGTATGTATAGATTATATTAATAATACATATTTGTTTTCTATATATAATTTTTCATCCTACCATTTCTAAATGAGAAGGCAAACATTAGATTCAGTTTTATATCAGTTATGTTAGCGCTTTTGTATTTTCAGAAAACCCACATATCAGCAAATGGTTTATTGAATCTTATATTTAATCATGTAGAAGACAGGATAGAAAATGTCACTGTGTAGTTTTAGGGAAAAGAGAAAGTTCAAATTCTATAAATGTAGAATTACATTTTGTAAGCTTCTACTATATAGAAGCAAATTAATATGGTCATACTAAGGCAATGTGACCATCAAATAATGTTGAAACTGACAACGTAAGAACTATCTTTACAGCTTGACTGTACATCTCTTCTTTGGGTGCCAAGAACTCTTCAGTGAAATATTTTGGAAATAACAGTACATGAGAAAACAATTTTAATTGATAACATGCTCTTGGGAAAACATTTATTCTTCTCTTATTTGACTGTTTGATTTTTCACTGTTAGACAATTTGTTGTTTTAAATTGTGAGATGTATGTCATTAGGAGTCAAAATTTCAAACTCATTCCTTTTTCTTTTTAATTCAACTTTCAGCTATTGTATTGCAGGAAAGTTGGAGTGCAGTGGTGAGTCATTGAATTTGACCCTAATTGATTAGGAAAGATCAGATGAGGGGTTTGGGATCTTTTTTAGACCATCAATACTAGAGGAACAGGGAATTAATGCTTTAGACTGTCCTTTAGGTGATTGGCACAATTCTATCCCAGAGGGGGTGTTCATGGTGAGTCATTCTCCCAAACAAGTATTGCCAAAACATTTTGGGCCACTGTCAGATGGGACAATGACTGATAATAGGGAGATTCTCCTACTGCATGCAGCCTATTTAGGTTCTGGGAATTAAGGGAGTGAGGCATCAGTCAAAATAGTTTAATGAAGGGGTGTTAATAGAGATGAGAATCAATACAGAAAAAATTAAATAATTGAAGGTTTGCTCACGAGCAACAAATATCTAAAGAATCTCGATAATCTTCAAAAGCATGCATGAGCTACTCTTTATATTAGGAGTGTCAGGAAGGAAAATAAGAAAAAGAGTCAGATGACTTACAGGCAATTTAAGATGTAGAATTTTTTTCAAGATATTTAAATTCCTGTCAATAATAGTAATTTATGATTATTTCAGAAATTCCTCGTACAAATTCAACATTTGCAGGTAAAATCCTCCATATGTTTTAAATGTGTATTTCTGATTTCTTTTTGTAGATAATCCTTTATACAGTCACATAAATCTGTGCCAGTAAAAGACATGCTGGTGAAATCTGCTGATATGAAAATTCTGAATTAAAATTAGCAGTTACTAGAAAATATGTCAAAACACTATGTTATTGTATTATTGTGAATTAAGTTAGAAATGTGGTTAAAACACACCTAGGTATTATTAGTAAATATTTGTTATTAATAGTTAATAGTTATGCTACTAATCTGTGACTATTTTAGCTGTGCTTATTAGCTAAATACCATCATCTAGAAATTGACAGTTTTAGGTCATAATAGAATATGTGGATGAAACAAAAATAAATGTGATCTCCAGTGAAATAAACATTTGAAAATGACAGTCACACTGGGAGATGATTCGAAAACATAGAAACAAAAGTTAGTTTCTTTTTCTTAACTCACGTGTTTGCACTGAGTCATGGGGCATTACCATCATGTTTATTCAAGAACGTGCTGGGTAAAATGTAGTTTAAATTTTGAGTCATTAAGCTTATGGGCGATACAAGCAATCTTAGAGTTGCTGCAGTACACTTACATGTGTGATTTAAGGAGATATTTTTCTTCCTATTGATTGATATTTAGAGGTGGCATCAATGAAGAGCTAGTACAGTGAATTAGAAACCTTAGGTTTTGATAATATATTTAAAGTTATGAGACCTTCTGAAAAATGTATTAACTTTTTAAAATTATCAGTCACTTATTTGAAGCTAAGTTAGAAGGGTTCTTATCCATATTTCTTGGCCCATAAATAGACCTTGTAAAGTTTCTATAAGATTTCAGTTAGGTGGTAATAATGGTAAATAGTTATGCTTGATGGAATAGAATAAACATATAGTGTTATTTGTATTGATTTAAATGAAAAATCATTTTGTCTCTTAACATCTGCCCATGTTTTAGAAAATCTACTTTTCATTTGTAGCATCTGGTTTCTTGAACTTACGTTTTCAGCAAAAATTATTCAAGTAATTTATTTTCATAAATATTGTTTTCCTAAACAGTTTCCACGACAACAGCTACCTCCATATTAAGTACCGGAGCAGGTAAATTTTTTTTAAAGTGCATATTAGTTTTTTAGTGCCTAAGAACAGCAAAGTCAATTTGAAGGTCAGGCATTTTGGCCCCTTTTCAAATTTGTCATGCTCCATTTATTTCTTAAATGCTCCTGCCAAGTCGCGGGGTTTACCTCCAATTATATTAGTAAAGAACATCTTTCCTCTTCAAAGAATATCTGTTATAAAAAGAACATTCTCCATACAACTAATATGGAGAAAGTAACGATGCCAGAAAATTCTATTAAATTCCTTGGAAATAATTTATAATTTGTTTTTTACTAATACCAAGGAATTTTAACTTGAATTGGGAGATTTGGAACTAAGGCAATAGCTAGCAGAGTATAAAAGTACATTGAAATGTGTAATTATCTGATAAATGAAAGTAACTGTTTCATTTATTTGCATTCTGGAGATCTCTAAGCATGTCCGAATAAATGTTTTTAACCCTGTCTTTCAATACTGTTTTAACAAACATTTCCAAATACTTGTCTCTTCCTTTGTACAGCTATTACACTTGTTACCAGTAGCCCAAGCACAGGTGAGCTATAACCTCCAACCACATAATCGGGGATTTTTTAAAAACATCTAAAACATTCTTTTGCAATAGTTTGTCTATGCAATGATATTTTTAGAAGAAGCAGACAAAATTCCTGTTTAGTTTTTTAAAAGATATTTTTAGAGAGCTTTTGGGGAACACACAATATATAAAATGATAAATTTTTGACCTTTTATTTGTGATATATAAATTTTAAAACTTTGATATTACATTTGGGCATCTGTTTACCTATATGACCAATTTTTTTCTGATACATTAACTTCAAGTTGATACATTTAATATATGACTATAGATGTTTCTGGAAGCTTAATTTCCCCTCTATGTAAAACTTATTTTTGTCCATTATTTTCTCAAATTCAGCAGTATCCATTCCAGGGATTATAGCATCAAGCAGTGAAACAATAGGTGGATAAAAGAGAAAATATATAAATGACGCATGAAGTTTTTTACACATATATATAATAAACATATATAAATGGAGAATGAATTACTTTTTAACAAACATATCTAGAACAAATTACATATTAGACTCAACATCAGCGTGATTATACTTTTGAATTATTAAGTCTGAATTTTCCCTCTGACCTTCCAGTTTTCCTAGTTTAAATCATTGAGTATGTTTCAGTGTCTGTAACATAAATGAAAACATGACAAAAAATAACGAGAAAAATGGTTAGCCAGCAATTTAGCACTGTGATTCGATATGTTATTTTTGCTTGTGATACAACCATCTTTTATTTAAACTAGTTAATTTCACAATAAAAATATATCAATTTTGCTCAATTAAAGATTCACATATAAAATATATACCATTTCTTCCTTGAGTCTACCTGTTTGAGAAAATCACCGATCGATATCATCCTCTTAATGCTACCCTATTTCTGACATATCCACTTTCCTATTCTTAAGACTTTCTCCCACCAACACTCCAACTTAGTACTATTTCTTTTTATTCTGTTGTTTACTAATTTCTCTAGTCTTACATAAATAAGTTCCTTGAAGTCACAGACCGTGGTTTGTCATCCTTGTATTCCCAATTACACGTAGTGTCAAGGTATATCAGAACTTGTATTCAATAAATATTTGTAGAATGAATAGATGACTCTTCTTTTTCCCTGTTGAAAATTTAGAACTCAGGTTTAGAATTTTAGCACAAAATTTCTAGTGAAGGTTAAACTCTTTGTTAAATGTTATTTATGTAGATAAATACAACAGTTCATTTATTTCAGCCATTGCCACTAATCTTGCTTCTGTAGAATACAAATATATGGTATAAAACCAGAACTGGTTTTGGATTATAAATTGATATAATAATACAGAACTATGCCTATAATTTTGAACATTTTATAATTCTTAGTATTGGCTGACTTTTTTTGCTAACATATTTTATATTCAAAGAGCAAATATACATCTTAAAATATCTGCCATCATAGTGTGCACTGTTATTAAAAATACTCCAAAGAACATGTTCATTTCCTATCAAACTTTATCTCATGTCGGATATCATGCACTACTGGCTCTTTCAAAGTAAAACAGAAAGACTGACACGTTTCAGAAATGTTTTCTGATTTTCTCAGATTACAGAAATGTAATCGTAAATTCATTTCCCAAGGCCAGCAATAATTTCATCTCAATATTTCTTTCTTTCTTTTTTTTCTTTTTTTTGAGTTAGAGCCTCACTCTGTCGCCCAGACTGGAGTGCAGTGGTTGCTCCTGGCCACCACAGCCTCGACCTGCTGGGCTCCGGCGATCCTTCCGCCTCAGCCTTCCAAGTAGCTGGAACTACAGGTGCGCGCTACCACGCCCAGCTGATTTTTGATTTATTGTAGAGATGAGGTCTCACCAAATTGCCCAGGCGGGTCTTGAACCTGTGGGCTCAGACAATTCACTCACCTCAGCCTCCTAAGGAGCGGGATTACAGACTGAGCCACCGAGCCCGGCTCATCTCAATACTTCTTCTGAAATATTTCATATACACTGAAGCATAATTTTGTAGCTATATATTGCCTCAGCCACAAGCAATGAACTGAATTCCTAATTCTCAGTCTGTTTCTGTATCTTTAATGATTAATTGGTTCAATTATGTAGTTCTCTTTTTGTTAAAATCATTTATCAGCTATTTAAATGTTTTAATAGTGTGAGCATTTAAAGAAATAAAATTTTCCTTGATTGTTGATTCAATGAATCCCTTAGATATGTGTGAATTATAAGCAATTTGGATAACTATTTCATGTATTTTTTCAATATGAGATTATATTTGCACCTTATCTCACAATAGTACCCAGAACGATTAAACATGGTTTAATTTTTTCATTTTATCCATATATTTTCTTTTATTGATTTTTTTAAATATTCAGTTTTGAACATAATATTCAATTTTATTTATCAACACTTTGTATTGTAGCAAGCAAACTTTTCACATAAAACAGATCATAAGTAGATTACCTTAACAGGGGTTTTGTGATCAACTGAAGACGTTTTAAATAAAAAATTTTTCCTCATTAACTGTAAAACACTTTAAAAATTATAAATCCAATGTAGAGTTGAATTATAGGAAAGATTACCTAGGTGATTTTTTCCCCTTGAGTTCATTAGATATTATTTATGATTTTTAATGCTTTGTCTTACTGAATCCTATTGTTTTATTTAACTCTGCTAAAGATCTAGTAGATATTTTATGCTCTATAGTAATAATAACAATAATTAATAATAATTTATTTAATTCACATTAGTACTACATGGAAAATATAGCTAACACTAACTTTTATTGAGAATTTACTATATTCTAGTCATTATATTATTTCTCATTCAATATCTTATTATACTTTACAATCCTCTGATTAAATACTATTATTCCCCCTCCACTTATCATTTTATAGATGAGGAGGTGTTTCAGGGTTATGAAGATCAGTGCAAAAGAAATTCCCAGTCATGATATATACAGAGACAAATCAGAGCTTTTGTTCCTTATTATCCATGAAAATGAGAAATTGTAGTGAACATTTTTCTAAAACCAGAAGACAAAAGTAATATAAAAATGTTTATTTTTCATGTTAAAATTGTCTATTTGTGCCACAGATCTTTCAAATAAATTTGGCAAAAAAATTCTAATGTACATAAACATTGATTATCAAGTGATCAAATCGATAATAACTTCCCAGCTTGTATTAATTATATACATGTAGCATATCTTGTTGCTGGGATAATTTAAGAAGTGCTTATTTCCGAGATAAGCTGAGGTATAACAAATTTTGGTTACGTTTATTAAATTCCAATGTAAAAACAATGATTAGTGGTAAGATTTGGCTTAATTATAGTTCTTCATCCACTGTTCCACATTTTTTCTGAATCTATGCTCATAGCATAATATATAGGTGGAAATTTAGAAATCTTTCAAATAATAATTAATATAGCTCTTCTTAAAGTCTGTGGATTGAGGGCTTGGATCATACCACTGCTCATCTTTGTTGCTTCAGTTAACTGGATAATCATAAATTGTCTGGTTTAAATTGTGTTAAGGACTCTTGGACTGAGAACAAAGTATTCAAAATAAAGTGTGGCATTTCTGAATTTTAACAACCATAAGAGATGACATATCGATTTACTTCTGATTGAGGACTCATAATAATTCATATAAAGTGAGGATGGCAATCAAAAGAATCTCAGAAAGTACTAGTTGTGTGTTTACTGATGGTTTTATTTTAAAGCTATAAAAGAAAAAAAGCCAAGCCTATTAGTTTTCTTTTTTCATGTGAGAATAAAACATTTCCTTTTAAGAAGCACTAACATTTTTTCTATTTAAATTTTTTTCTTTATAAGTTTATCCAATAAGCAGCATACCAAAGTGAAAACAAAACAGTTAAAAATGTCTGCTTTTAGAACTTTTGAAAGAAATAAAGATCTTTTTTGTAGAGTAATTGCTTGCACAAATTGTAGGTTTCAAAGACATCTTGTTTTTTTTTACTGACATTGATGGTTTAACAGTTGAGTAGCATTTGACAAATTATGATGAATCCATAACTACATAATGATTTTTGTTTTTTAGTCTTCTAGTGATAATTCTCACTTGATCAGTGATGATACAAATGAATTTCATTCTTTTATTTTAAAGTAAAAGTTTAGTTATCATCACTAGCAAATTTTGTTGTTTCTTTCTATAATAGTATGCATCAACCAAAAACATTTTGAGATTGAAAAGCAAAATATTAATATTTTCAGATACAGCATAGGTAGGAAGATAGAAAGACACTTCTTTTCTAATATGTATTATCTCTCCATGAATATCTATAATAGGTGGATTTGTTTCTTAGACATGAGGAGCCATTTTACCCCCAAATTTTGGCTTACAGTTCCAGTTTTCTAAATATAATTTCATTTTGGATAATAGTGTTTTTGAGTTACCTAATATGAATAGTGGGATAAATTAATTTAGTTAAAACCTTTCTACTTTTATTTTCTGCATTATCTTAAAATAAATCAGTTCAATATTAAAACCTATAATTCTTGAACACAAAGATAACTTATTTTAAAAATAATTTAGGCTGGGGGCAAGTTTTTGCCACTAATTTTTTATTCAAATGAAATGCTTTTGATCAAGTACTGGATCAAACTGTAATCTTGGATGGAATGTGAGGTATGATTTTATTGCTGTATGTCTTGACCTTTTGTTGAGGTAAATAGCGTAGAAGCAAAATGTACTTTTGAAGAATTTAGAAAAACATTACAAAAAATTCTAACACACAAAGAAAGCAATATGCAAAGCTTAATATTTCCTATGCTTTATGTATGTTTTCTTTTCTATACAGTTAATGCTTTCAAAGATCTAAAGTACCCTGAGAGATGCCTAACTAGCCATTTCAATAGGCATGTTTTTAGAAGAAAAATTATGCAGTTATGGGGCCTTTCCACTTTAGACTGACTGACTTTGACACACAGCTAATATTTACTGGACGCTGCTTTAAGTATATGACACATATTATCTCATTTGATGCAGAAACTCCCTGAAGTGGGGCCATTAGTTCCCCCACTTACAAATGGGTAAATAGAAACACAAAGAGGTTCTGCTATGTATTCAAGGTTATTTGCTAATAAGTGGTAGAGAAAGAATTAAAATTCAGAACATCTTTTCCTAGCCTCCAGTCCTAATGCCCCTGTGTTTTGGTGTTTAAAGAAGGGAATAAAATAAAATAAAATTTAAATCAGTTATTGAAGTAGCAACATATAATTGCAGGCTCTAATTTCAACTTGGGACTTGTGCTACAATTTAGAGTTTGTTTAGTACGTCTCTATTCAAAGTAAAAAAAAAAACTTCATTGACTAGATGAGATATTAATTCATATAATTAAAAAGTGGGTTTCTGTTTCTTAACGATATGAGGGGAACCCCCCCAAAAACAGAATTATCTTTTGGAGAGTGGGCCTCTTGCAGTGACTTTCCCAGCTATATAAGTGTTCTAGGAATCCATTGGCATCAGTGTACCGGCTAGCTAGGGTTCTTTAAGAGACTTTGTTCAGTTTCAGTGGATTTTTTTTTGGAGATTATTTCAACATGCTTGCCCATGTCGTAATGCATCTGCCCACACTGCACTGAGTGTTCAGCAGTTTTTGACCAAAAGAAATAACCCCTGTGTCCCACCCTCCCTATTCATCTGATCTTGCCCCTAGCGACAACACCCCATGAAAAAAGCCTTCAGGCTGGGCTCGGTGGCTCAGCCTGTAATCCCGTGCTTTGGGAGGCCGAGGTGAGTGAATTGCCTGAGTCTTTGGGTTCGAGACCCGCCTGGGCAACTTGACGAGACCTCATCTCTACAATAAATCAAAAATTAGCCGGATGTGGTAGCGCGTGCCTGTAGTTCCAGCTACTTGGAAGACTGAGGCGGAAGGATCGCCGGAGCCCAGCAGGTCGAGGCTGTGGTGGCCAGGAGCGGCCACTGCACTCCAGTCTGGGTGACAGAGTGAGACTCCAACTCAAAAAAAAAAAAAAAAAAAGAAAAAAGTCTTCCAAAGGAAACATTTTGCAGATGTGGAAGAGGTGAAGCAAAAAATAGCAGGAGCACTGAAAGGCATCAAAATTTACTAGTTTAAAAACTGTTTTGAGCAGTGGAAAAAGTATCTCAAAAGGTGTACCACATCAAATAGACAGTACTTTGAAGGTGACTGAAGTTTAAACATGTAAGAATAAATACACACTTTTTTATTGATAAATTTTGGGTTTTGGGGGGGTCCCCCCCAATATGCTATGTTAAAATTCATTTTTTCTCAAAAATATAAAATCTCAGAATATTGCAACTGTACATTATATATACACAATTTTGTTTGTATAATTTGCTCCTTTTAAAATAGTATCAATCATAGAAAAAATTAATTGCAGCAGACTATTATAAAGAGGCACCTAAACGTAGTGAGATGTAGAATCAGAAAAAAAAGATTTTTAATCCCTTCTCTTCTACCTACTAGCTGTGTGACCCTACTTTATGTCTCTCAAACACCCTGAGATTAATTTTCTCATCTGTTAAATGGGAAAAATAGTAATATATACATCGCAGAATTTGAGAAAGAAATTAATGTGACAGCTTAGTATAATACAGTATAATACATACTAATACTCAGTAGTACTCCGTAAACTCAACTTCATTAGTAGTTTTAGAAAGAATAATTCATTATGTGAATGAGTGTATATTTTCATAGAAGAGTTTAGTAATTTTCAGTTACTAATCAGAAACTACCCCCTGAATTAAAGTTAATTTTATAGTTTTAATTTTTTTCAGAAATACGATGTTTTGCAAAATCTGTGGACTTTGCAGCACTTTATAAGGGGAAATGTCATAGAGGCTTTTTAAGTGTATCTTGCAGATATATGTTTTAATAAAATGAAATCATTGAAAAAATTTTAAATTTTATAAAAATTAAAATGATTATTACATTAAAAACTTTTGTGATAGCTAGATGATTAAAATTTTATATTAATTATTAAGTTTATAATGAGGTAAAAAATAAAGGGACACAGCCATTTTGAGAAACTTTTAGGGTGGAGTATCATACTACGTTGTAGTGTGCTGTGCTGTTAATATTTTTTTAAAGGCAGCTCTATTACCATTTATGTCTTGGTTATGGAGAAACTAATACATAGCAGTTGACAATATCAAGCACTTCTGGCATTTGAGGGGAGACCCCCCCCGCAAAAAAACAATTAACTTTTGGAGTATGAGCCTCTTATAGTACAGGCTTCCCCCTGCTAAGTAAGTGTCCTGGGAACACACTGGCATCAGTGTACCAGATAGTGTTGTGAGAGATCACATTCAGTTTCAGTTAATTTTTTTATGAAGGTTCTTTCAATGTGTTTGCCCATTTTGTGATGAGTGATTTACCAGCGCACCTGCCCACACCTTGCTGAGTATTCAGCAGTTTTTGACCCCAAACGGCATGACACCCTCATGCCTCACTTTTCTTATTTGCCCAAGATGTTTTTTTGTTTCCCTGAATGAAAAAAGTCCTCAAAGGGAAACATTCCACAGATGTGGAAGAGGTGAAACAAAAAACAGCGGTAGCACTAAAAGGCATCAAAACTGATGTGTTCAAAAACTGTTTTGAGCAGTGGAAAAATTGTCTCAGTAGGTGTATTGCATCAAATAGAGAGTACTCTGAAGGGAACTGAAGTTTAAACATATAGAAATAAATTTTTTTGTTAAAAAAAATTCCTGGGTCTTTTTTGGGGGGGTCCCCCTTGTATATGTTCATTTGCAAATACTGGAAACCTTAGGTGAACTTGTAGTGGTTACGGATGTCAAAATTAATAGACAGGAACGCTTTATCTATCAGTTTTGGTAATTAAACCATGAAAAAAAGTGGGTTCTCATATACTCTGGTTAGTGAAGGCTTATCCCATCCCTACTTTTATTGCTGTATCAATAATTTCAGACTTACGTCTTCTGAAGTTCATTCGTGAGAAAAGGGAGCTATATCATAGTAGCCTGACTGGTATGTACTCCAATCTGTGACTAGTTTAGAAAACTATAGCTCTGATGAGTTCTTGAGTTCCACTTTGGAACGTGTTGCTATATTAGCCACACCAATTACAAAGACAGTCCTATAATTATGCTCTCTCCTGCATATGGTTAAAATATTTGTGATTAGTGCACTACCTCCTATGGCAAGCCACCGTGTGCCCTTTAAATCCATGTTGATTAGACAATATTCAGATGTGTAAATTTTACAGATTTGATTTTATTCCATATGATAATACTGCTTTTAATTAAATATAATTAATTGTCTTCTGTTTGAAAGTGCTCAAACTGGGATCCTTGGAATTCCTTAAAGTTTAAATCAATACTGGGAAGTGGAATCTGCATCAAAATCTTTGGGAGTATCAGTGTCTATACTGCTACATCATTATAATCTTGATAGTGTCTGTCAACCACAGCATAATAGTATTTCTATGCTATGCTTACATCCAGATCAGCAAGATGTTCTAATTCAGATGTCCAATATTTGTGTTCATTAGTGAAAAAAGACATCAAGATCTCAATTGGTCTGTTGGTAGAGTCTGCTTGATACTGATTTTGAGATTTTTCTGAACTAAACTCTGACACATATTTTAAGAACTGTCACAAAAACCTTTTAAACTACTTGTCATACATATATAAATATCCATTTTGTAAAGTAGCCAGGGGAGACAAGATATTTTGTTATTATTTGATATTGCTTTCTACAGTTTCTAGTCTAATATTTAATATTTCAGTTAGTATGGTGAATGGGTAATTAAGGAACCTTAAAAGTTACTAGAGGTGATATATTATACATAAAGGCAGAATTGCATAAAAAGCAGTAGGAGTCACAACGCTGGATACTAGGTAACTTCAATTTTAGTCCCAGCTTTGTCACTGACCAGCAGTGATCTTGAACAGATCACTTGACTTTTCTGGGCTCAATTATTTACATGCAAAAGGGTCCAATACTTTGACTCCATTTATTCATTCATTCATTTTATGGTCAAATGTTTTCAAACTCCTATTATGTGCTAGGTACTCTGATAGGTATGGGAGATATAAAAATGAATTAAAACAGACATGGACACTGCCTTTATAAGGCCTATAACCTAGTCAGGAAAATGACTATCCATCAAGTAATTACAAAAACAAGGGAAACTTACATCCCCCACAAGAGCTATGAAGTACTTACAGTGGGGCATGGGACTAGGGAGAAGGGATTTGATCAAGTCAGGAGGTCAGGAAAGACTGAAGAAAAGATGATTGAGTTGAGAATCAACCAATGAAAATTTTAAGAGATGAGGGAAAAGAACAATGTTCTAGGTACAGGAAACTGCAGACAGCAGGTAGGAAGGACAGAGAGTAAGTCAGTGTGGCTGGACAAGGAGCAAGGATCAAATAGATTGTGTGAGAAGTTTGTTCCTCTTCTTTTATTACAGTTACAAAACACTATAAAATTGCTTAGTGACATTATTACATAAAGTAAGCAATATATTTTCTGGAATTCTTAAGGGAAATTAACACTGAAACAGAGAAAATACCCAGCCATTATTTATGAAAACCCCAAATTTATAAACGTTTGTTTTTAAATGCACAGACCCCTCAATAAACATTTAATGAACTTCTGCCACGTCCCCAGCAAGGGATATGCATTGGGAATACAAAGATAAAACTTCCTTCAGAAGTTCACTGATAACCCACAACTCAGTTGTTTATTGGTCATTTCAACTTTATTTTCACAAGCCTGCTATACAGAATCATAAAAATTAATTTTAAAAGTGTTTCTTTTTCCCTCCAAATTCTTATAGACTAAATACTACTTAATAAAAAAATATCCAAGCTGCAGACAACCAGAAGCAGAGGGAAGTTGAAAAAAACCATGAATGGAAACAGCCTCTGTTAAACAGAATTGATTTTATTATTGCTTATATATATTTATTTAATTTGCTCTGTATTTAGTAGAATTCAGTGTAAGTATACGTAGTATGTGTATATATATACATTTATATACACCCACACATAGTCATTTGAAAGTACATCATGATGCCACTAAAACATGAAATAAAATTTTATATAATTTATTGAAAACACTAAATATTTTACAAACTATATTGAAAACTATTTGACAGGAGAGAAATCTTTCTAGTATTTTTCTTTTGAGGCCAGAAAAATTCACATTATTTCTTTTTTTCTTATCAGGAACAACTTTAGGTCCTCTCACGGAACCTTTAACTACAGGTCAGTATACTCATTTCTAGTTTTACATGTAAAATAAAAATATCCCAAAGTGTGAATTATTGGTAACTTTGGGTTTTTAAGAAAGAATTTATATGAGAGTTTTGCTTTTGAAAAAATATTTCAAACTAGTAGTTTACTAAAGTTTTTCCATTAGATTAAGACTTAAAAACAACAGCTAAACACAACAAAACAGAATTTAACTTGTTTTTGATCAGTTTACATTGGTTATAATATGCTTTCCAGTTTTATTTTCTACCTTATCATTAATTATTAGCATAGCATTTACAACAGTAGCAAATATCTCAATTTTTAAAAATTAATATATAGGTTTAGGGAAAGCATTTCATATCTAATAAGTTATTTTACTCTCTTAGGAGTTTTAAGTGTAAAAGGGACAATTAGCTAGTTCTCAATAGTGTTTCATCATTGTTATTATCAGCCCTGGGCAATAGTGATTAGGGTATAAGGTTCTGCTTATTTTAAAACAATTATTTAGGAAAATGTATGAAGACCTAGTATTACTCATTACAAGATACAGGAAATGTCATTGCTAAAAAAAAAAAAAGCGATAACTAAACCAAAATCTTTGAGAAAATAATATTAGAACTAATTCTTAAGGAACAATGGGCAGAATGTCACTGGATTTATTGATTCTATTTTCTGTAATAAGAATTAAATCACCTACTGGTAATAAAGTTCAAGTAGACTTTAGATGAGAAGTTTATTTTATGTTTTCTCAGTCACTGCTAGAACTTCAGTTCCCATCATCTCAACAGCCGGAAGTGCAGCCATGACTGGATTAGTGAGCCCCACCTTTACCAGTGCTGGGGCTTTATCAGGTAATTAAGTTCAGAGCAAAGTATACCAAGAAGCTAGCTTTAGGAAATACTGCTCAAGACAATATTTTTTTCAAATTAAAAATATTAGACTTCAATGATTATTCCTTATATGTAATTAGTCTTGTCACACGTTGCTTTCAGGTTACATTTATTTGTACTCATGACCGTGATGGTTAGTGGCAACTATGACATTTCTTTTAACCAGGTGTTTGTTTTTGCTTTACCTTTATCAGGGACAACCGGAGTGTCACCAGGTGTAGTCACAGAAGCTAACAATGAAAATTCAAGTGACACAGGCTTCGGAGCAGGTGAGACAAAGGAATGAGTAAAATGCTATCTCTTTCACAACTTATTTCTGCAGGGAGTCCTGTGTTGCAACTCAGCAAGAACTTTACCCTGAATACAATATCAGATGTGGTGTCAACTGTCAGAGCTATCTAAGTCAGCTGGGTGACTTTGGGGGGAATACATTCAATGACTAATATTTGCATATTAATAAAATATTGATATAATTCTATGTTACACAAAGATTTCTGAATTATACACAAATATATAACATGTAATTTAATCAACATTAACACCAGAGTAGCTATATGTCACTATTTCTACTAGGTGACAAAATAAAAAAGGTCTCCCGGTGGCAGAGGGAGGATTAGAACACAGCATCCTAAACCTCACATTTAGCAGCTAGTTCCACAGCTCTGTGATTCGTGTATAAAAACATACATCCAACAAAAGCCAACAAGAATATGCTTGTCCTTGTACATCATCAGCTAAAGTTTAACTATTATTGGTACATGAATAAAATATTATTGACATTTTTTAAACATAGATAATTTTTATTAAAACAAAGAAGCCTGAGTTCACCCCTGCCCTCTCATGCAATCAGTTAATAATTTTAAGTGCCTCTTAAGTTTCTTCTCTTCATCACACTTGCCCCTGCTTTTGTTCAGATGTTAAATATGTTCCACCTAATCCCTGCAGTTGTCCTCCTAGCTTACCTTCCTCTGACACAATGGTGCTCAAGGTGTGGTTCTGAGACCAGCAACATCAGCATTTTCTAGGAACTTGTTAGAAATGCACATTTCAGGCAGGGGACTTTGGGGCACACCTGTACTCCCAGTGCTTTGGGAGTTCAAGGTATGAGGATCACTGGAAACCAAGAGTTAAAAATTAAAAAAGAAAAAAAAAAAAGAAATACAATGAGAAACTGAGGTAGAGCCCAGCAAGTGATAAGAACAAGCCCTTGTTGCAAATGATGCTCATCAAAGTGGAGAACCACTGCTCCAACGTTTCAACTCTTTCCCCACTTCCTTTTCAGTTTACACTTCAGTCAATACCATGCCAGAACTGTCGTCATGTCACTCCACCACTTATAATTCTTCAATTACTCTGATTGTTTTTTAACATAAATCCACCCTAAAAGTCATTTCTTTAGTGTACACATGAGCTTATTTCTCCTTATGCATTTATTAACTGATCCATGACCTAATTTTACTTTTCCTGCATTTATTTTCCCTTAGCAATTTTCTTTCTTTAAAATTTATGACTTAAACCCATTTTGGAAAAATATATAGTTTACATAAAAATAATGGACTGAAAGATATAATCTATACATACAACAGCACAAATTAAGAAATTGGGTACTTCCAATTAGATCAATAAACTGATAGAAGTTTTAGGGTGCTGACAATTTAGTTTATAGTTCCTAAAATCTGAATCAAAATTACTTGAGGAATAATGACAAATCAGCCAGCCATCTCTTTTGGTTATCAGGCATCATGTGTAGTGCCAGCCAGACCGTTCCTGGTCTTTGATGTGATAAGAAGTGAAACAGAGAACAAGCATTTTGAAACACAGCATTGTACTGTGACACAAAAATCTTGTATTGGTTGAATAAAGGCTGGTGTTTTGTATGATTTTACTTAAAAAAATTTTTTTTTCTCTATTTACTTTCATAGCATTTTACAAAGTATCCATCTAGGATAGATTGGAAATTTTACTAGATTGGTCATTTGCTACAGATCCCTTGAGAAGCACAGGTTAGAATATAAACCCTGGGGCTAGACTGCTTTAGTTTGGCTCCTGGATCTGCTGTCAACCAAGTGGGTGACCTGGATCAAGTCACTTAACCACATCTAATAAATAAGAATAATAACATGACCTATTTCACAGGAATTCTACAAGATTAAATGAGTTGGTTTATGTGTAGAGCATTTTTCAAGTGCTATTTTTTAAAAAATAAAAAGCAACAGGAGGTCCTACTGCACCACCGAGGACAGGTGAGAAAGGCAGCACGCCTGGGGAAACAAGCAATGAAGCTACGAGCCCAAGAGAATCAGGCAAGTCAAGAGACACACTTTTAGTACCCATTAAATGGGTACGATTATCAAAAACATGCAGGCTTGAGTAAACGATGAAAATTTTCAAGATTAAAAATTTGACTTGACTCTCCAAATCTTTTTCTTCAGAAGTACATTATGTTGAAATTACTGCTACTGTCTTTATCAGGTACAACTGGCGAAGCTGTGGGGGTGACAACAGGAACAAGCAGGGGAAGCACACCTGGAGTGTCAGGCAGTGGGGCCATCAGCACTGGAAACCCAGCAGGCAAGACAAAGCATACCCTAGGGACTGTGGTGGGGGTCCAACACAAGCTTTGCTAAAATCTCAGAATATCAGAATGAGATTAAGTAAAGACAGTCAAGGAAAACCATTAAGGAACTATGATGACAGGAAACTAGGAAACATCCTGGAAGAACATTTTCTTCATACCTTTCCATACATAAGTAAACACCATTTTGCTTCCAATTAGGAACAACTGGAGGAGCAGATGCAGCCACCACTAGAGCTGCTGGTGAGAATTCATCTGGAACAACAGGTATGGAAGGAGATAATCAGCTTGACACAGTCATGCAGACATGTGAGCTTTCTGCTCAAAGTTTAGGCAGAAGCATGGTTTCCTGGGAAATCCAAACATTGTTATTTATGTAATGCCAAGTGTCCAGAAGATCAGAACTATGCCAACAAATATGTGTTGTGTGACAAATATTGTTTGATGATCTGTGGGATCCAGGAATAGAATAGGTCCCTAGATCTGTTCTCCTTCTACTTTATTATAAGGAGGAAGGAATTAGCCTTTGTACAGATACAGATGACAAAGACTAGGCAAGATAGGAGTTAATCAAGTGAAGAATAGGTGCATGCTGGAGCATAAAGCAATTCTAGTAAGAAGAGACTAGATAATTCACTGTTGAACTATTCAATGTTGAACACTGAATTATCCACACGATTACTCTTTTATTAAGAAAGACTGCCTTACTATAATCAGTACATTATCAGAGTTCCTGGCTTACTTGATTTACCCTGAACACGTCAGTGAAATTTATGAGTTAGATCTATCTTATTAAGGGAAAAAAAGCATATTTGAGATAATTTTATGAGTATTTACTTTGTGTTTTCCTAAACTGACATTTCTTTTCCATGATTAAAAAAATCAGGCATACCTGGGGCAACCCCTGGAGCAAGCCCTGGAGCCAAAAGTGGCAGTACTCCTGGAGAAGCAAGCGCTGGAGTCACAGGCTCTGGTAAGATCCACTGGACTGGACATGACATCTCAGCACCTCCCAACGGTGCCCTCCCACAGCTACTGATGGTCTATAAATTCAGGCTGTAACTGATATCGGAATGCAGGGCTAAAGAAAGATGGAGAGATAGTGTCTTTTACTTACTTTTTCTGGAAACTCCCAAGTACTTTCAGTAATGTCAGGAATAATATTCTCACCCGCCATGCCTTCACCTAATTCTTCGTTTCATGTACCACAGGCTCCACCACTGCCAGTCCTGGAGCCTCAGCTATGCCAGCCACAATCTCTGAAAGCGGCAAATCGGGTTAGTAAAAGGAAGAAATCAGTAACTGTGCAGGAGTAAAATAGAGCGGTTGGGTCTGTCCCCAGTCCCTTTATTTGGCAGAGCTGTGAAGAATGGAAAGTATTAGAGTTAGGAAGCCTAGTTACTGACCAATAGTATTGCAGGTAGCATCCCTAGGTCTGAATTAGGTGGTATTTCTTTAATCTTGCACAATTGTTAGAATTCCTGAATGTGCCATATACATTCCAAGACTCCTGCTCTATAATTTCTGAGGTTGTAAGTCTGGAGTGGACTAGGATTTCAGTTTGCAATCTGGCTACAAATTAGAATCCACTAGAGAAATTTTTGAAAGTACATACTGAAGAGTTCTTCGTGGACTAATTGAATGTGGATCCCAGGAAGAAGGGACTGAGCATCAGTATTTTCTAAAAGGCTTGTGGTTTCAACATGTGGCCTGGGTTAAGAACCAGTAAGTGCAAATATCTGAATATTAAACAAGGAAATAATAACAAACTTATTTACGAACATTAAGTAAACAGGCATACTCAGGGATTCTAACAATTGTCGAAAATTCTTATTATCAGTGTTTGGAGAGAATGAACCATTTTTGGAAATGAATTGTAAGCAAAAGATATTTTGAAATATATTTTGAAAGATATTTTGAAAGCAGAGAGTAAGTAGCACAATCTGTTCTCTTAATCAAAGATCATGTTATATATTTATTGTTTATTGTGAAAGGGACTACTCGAACATCAGTTGGTGAAACAACTAGAGCCCCGAGCAGGGAAGTGACGCCATCTGAAGGCAACTTAGGTGAGTAGAGAATGTCATTCAGAGGCCATGGCTTTTGTCATAAAAGGAAGTCTTTCATCAGAACTCTGCTACTTTCACTTAGTATTAATCAATCAAATCCATCTAGCAAAAGGTGTAGAATGGTGTATAAGTGAATAACATTTTTAAGAAAAAATTAAAAAAAATTTTGTGGTTTCTCCAAATCTTCCCTTCAAATGTATAGTAATAATCAAGTTTTCACAATGTATGTGCTCTCCTAATACTGTTTACCAGGTGTAATAGGACAGTCTGTTGAGGCCACTGCTGGATCTGTTGGTAGAATCACAGCAAGGCCATCTTCACTGGTTCTAGGATACCTGGGAACTTGGCTGCCAGGCCCAGGCTCACTTGCTCACTTGAGTGGTGGGGAGTCATGGGTTTAGCTGGAACCCAGATTCTTATAGATTTTAGTGATTTTAGCCATGGCTAGAATTTTAGGACAAATGATTACAGATAATGTAAGTCCTAGTGCACATACCACATCCGAATAAAACCTCTGAAATTTTGTCAAAGAGAACTTTCATCAAAACCATCTATGTAGCTGGGCTCGGTGGCTCAGCCTATAATCCCGCACCTTTGGGAGGCTGAGGTGAGTGGATTACCTGAGCTCACGGGTTCGAGACCCGCCTGGGCAGCAAGATCTCATCTCTACAATAAATAAAAAAATCAGCCGGGTGTGGTAGCGCATGCCTGTAATTCCGGCTACTTGGAAGGCTGAGGAGGAAGGATCACCGGAGCCCAGCAGGTCTAGGCTGCGGATGGCCGGGAGCGGCCACTGCACTCCAGTCTGGGTGACAGAGTGAGACTCCAACTCAAAAAAAAAAAATTTTTTTTGATTAAAAAAAAAATAAAATAAAATACAAACCATCAATGTAGACTAGAGTTACCAGAAAAAATACAGTCTGCTGCTAAATTTGAATATCACATAAATAAGAAATAATTTTTTAGTGTATGTTTTGTGCAGTAATTAGAACATGGTGTTTACTGTTTATCTGGAATTCAAATGTAACTGGGTGGCCTATATTTGTATTTGCTAATTCTGGAAACCCTGATGGAGACTAAGCATGGTTGTTCTTCCCAATTAGAAACAACTGGAAGTGGAAATGCAGCCACCACTGGAGCTGCTGGTGAAAACACTTCTGGAATGTCAGGTATGGAAAGAGCATAATCAGAATAAATCTAGACTGTAGAAATGTAATTTCTATTTTTTTTTTTTTTATTGAGTTGGAGTCTCACTCTGTCGCCCAGACTGGAGTGCAGTGGCCACTCCCGGCCACTACAGCCTCGACCTGCTGGGCTCCGGTGATCCTTCCACCTCAGCCTTCCAAGTAGCCGAAATTACAGGCGTGCGCTACCATGCCCGGCTAATTTTTTGATTTATTGTAGAGATGAGGTCTCGCTGCCCAGGTGGGTCTCGAACCTGCGGGCTCAGGCATCCACTCACCTCAGCCTCCTGAAGGCGTGGGATTACAGGCTGAGCCACCGAGCCCGGCGAAATGAAATTTCTTTACTTAAAATTGTGTCAGACACTCTCAGCACAGATCCTGAATTGGACCCCTGCCACCCCATGTGTGGGCATATAGCATGAGATAAAACTATTTGTTTGCTTGTTGGCTTTTTAAAGTCACTTAGATTTGAGAGCTGTTTGTTATAGCAGCAAACACAAGTCCATCTTGACAGAATTGCGTTTTATTCCTTTAACTGGGTGATGGGTATGGAATGCTCCTTAAATTACTCACTGTGCTTTGTGAGCCTAAAATATTTCATAATTTTGAATAATGGTTTAACGTAATGAATTGTTATCTAGGTTAAACATAGAATATGAACTTGAAAAAATTTTTTATCAGAGACCAGGTTTCCTGGGGAGCTTAATAATTATTATGTGTCTAATGCTAAAACTGCAAAAGATCAGCAATGACTCAAGAAGTTTATGTGGTGTGAACAACATCATATGGGGTGATGGAGACAACATAAAAGAGTAGAAAGTACTTGTTCTCATAGAACTTCATTTCTGAGCAAAATAAATTAATATTTGTAATACACAGAAAAGGCAAAGAAAACATGAAACACAGAAGATAATCAAAATCAAGAAATTGTTCAATGGCAAGTTTTGGGGTATGAACTTGAGAGGCAATTCTAGTAAGGTAACTGATGAGTTTGGTTAAAATAACATAATTATTCTACTTTGAAAAGTATATGCTATAATCAGTGCACTATGGACTATGTCTATATACCTCATCTTGAACAGAAATTCAAAATACAAGTAAGTTGAGTGAAATTTTAGGAATCTATTTAGCTTAAGGGGAATGAAGAACAGTAATCATTTAGGTTTTGGGGAAGTAGAATTGAAAACAACATATTCTTCAAATTCAGAAACCCTTTCCACAAAGGTGGTAGAGAATAAAATGGGTTTATTATTGAACTGGTATTAAACCAGAAGATGATGTGCATCATAGGCAGTCTGCTAAAAGACTGCAAAATCAGAGAGAAATCTCACTCTTTATACAGTTAAGCAGATACAACCTACTACATACATGTTCTCGATATAAACAATCATAGTTCTCAAGCAAAAGGACTTGACAGTAGAATTTATTACATATAATTCATTCTAAATTCACCTCTGGAAATGGAGCAGGTGAGCGAGGTGTTCACAGCTGAATCTGTGAAGAACAACTACATCTCTTAAATGTTGTATTTCTGTTGTAACTACCCGATGAATTGGTAAAAAATGCAAACACCAAAAATGCTTTTATTGTAAGCAGAATGTAAATTAGTCATGGTATCAACCTTGTCATTAATTTACACTGATATTCATAGAATCAGGTAGCATTTAAGCTCAAGGAACCAGTGAAGGAAATAAAATGCTTAAAAATGGCAGAAAAATGGTGTTTGCATACATTAGAGTCTACAGCCACTTACTTCTATAAACCACAAAGATCAACCCGCAGCCCACACCTGGATTATTTAGAGGAATCAGAGAAGGCCAAGACTCCAAAGACCCTGAAAGATGCTCTGGACTCAGTGGAGCTGAGATTTGGGTAAGGGCATTGTGGAAGTTAGAGAAGTGTGAGAGGTGCTAATAGTGGTAGAACACAGGTTCAATCAACTAGATATCAGCCCCAGGAGAAAAGGACCTCAACCTAAATGAGAAATATTAAGAGAAGATCTTAGACTGGACAGGTCAGAACCCTTGTGAATATGAAGTTGAAAGGAGTATTGGAGAGTCCATGGAATGAGAACAGGAGGTCTTGGGAAGGCACTGACTGCTTTTAGAGGAGAGGGAGAAATTTTGGAAGATTCCTTAAATCATGGGTGTCAAAGGGGAAAAAAAGAATGTGAAAACAAGAGTCTCAATAAAACAGGAGAATAATTAAGACTCAGAAAACAAAGAAAAGTGCCACTTATAAAAGAAACTCTCCTCACTGTAGGAACATAAGAGGGAGCTCTTGATCTGTGAAGTATGGGAACCACACAAAAACTCCCTGTCACACACTGTATAGGGTCTCCTGCTACTGCTAGTCCAGGAAAACTCAATGTAATGCAACAAAATAAAAAATAAAATTCCAATATTTATAGCCATTCCTTTGTACAAATTTTCAAAAAAAGTTCAGCAATAGTGAGCAATCTCTAAAAAGTCAGTCATAAAGCCGAGGAATACTAAAACAAAACATTAACATGAATTTTAAATGACTAGAGAAACAACTGAAGACATAAAGAGACATCAAAGATGTAAATTCAACTCAGCACACATCAGGAAGCTGTTACATTGAAACTGATAAAAACTCAGGAGAGAAACTGAAGGAATGGAACAATTATCTTACAAATAAAGACCAAATAACCAAGTGCCCAAGATGAATAAGACTGAAAGTGCAGAAAGAGGGTTACAGGCTAGAACCTGGAAGAGGGTCCCTACACCTCAGATACTGTAAACACTTTCAAAAAAAGTAACATGATCAGTGGAAGATATAGTTGTAGAAAACAAATGAAAGCACCCAACATATGTATTATTTTAATTTCTGGAGGAAAAAAAGCATGAAACAGAGATAATATTTAAAATTATAAATCAGGAAACACTCCTTGAAGTTAGGGAAAAGAAGACCTAATTTTATGGATTAAAAGTACCCACCATTTACCTAGAAGAATTAATTCTGAACAAATTATTTTTTAAAACAGCTGGACTTGAGGCATGGGGGACTTTCGGAGCCACAACATCAGTAAGGGTACCTGATCTCAAACCAGGCAAAGTAGGGACCAAAGGGAGGCCCAAACTTTACCTGTACAATGTCCACTTGTATACCTAATCCTAAATTGTACCCCACATCTTTAAAATAAAATATGTAAGAAATAAAAAATAAAATAAGCTGGATTTGCTTTACTCATAGGTAACATGTAGTAAGTAGTCAAGTGAATTATTTAAAGATTACAAAAAAAATAATCAAAGCTTAAGTTTATTAGAGAGAAAAACAATGAGCATTAAGAAAGAAAAGTTTACTTTTCAAGATTAGGAAATCCATTAAAGTAATTCATAATATTAATAGACTTAAGAGAAATAAAAACAACTAGCTATCCCCACAGAAGCTAAAAAACATATTTGATAAACTATCAATAACCATTTTTAATGGAGAAAAAGAACATTCAAAATAATAGGAAGAATTGATACTTCCTTAAAATGATAAAATACATATATCTCAGTCACATATGCAGCATCTTAACAAGGGATTACTATTTCTATTCTACCAACTGCAGAAAGAAGGTAAGGATACAGAATATCATACTATTACTTAGCATTTTTTAGAGTTATTAATAAATTAAATTAGATAGTAATTGGAAGCATAGCACTTCTATTAGAATATATTAAACTATTTATTTTACAGATGCTATGTTAGTATACCTATAAAACATTAGAGAATCAATGGAAAAACTATAAATAGTAAGGGAATTTAATAAAATATGAAAACACAAGATTAATCTGTAAAAAATAATAGTCTTCATAAATACAAACAATAACAAGTTAAATATATGCCTGTATTGGAAGAGAAAACTCCAATTTATAAAACAACAAAGCAATAAAATACCTGGGAGTAAAATTATAAATTAGGAAACACTCCCTGAAACTAGGGAAAAGAAGACTTAATTCTATGGATTAAAAGGATCCACCATTTACCTAGAAGAATTAATTCTGAACGAGTTATTTTTTAAAATAGCTGGATTTGAGATGCAGGGGATTTGCTATCTTAATAAGATTGCAAAATGTGAGGAAAACTTTAAAACTCACTTTAAAGACATAATAGTGTTTTTGACCAAATGGAAGGGCATACTGTATCAGGTGCACAAGACCCCCTCTGGCTTCATGATTTTCTAGAAAAACTCACAAAACTCAGTATGAAATCATACTCATGGCTATGATTTATTTTAGCAAAAGGATACAAAGCAAAATCAGCAAAGGGAAAAAGTGCATAGAGCAAAGTCTGAAGGAAATAAGAGTAATATATGTAAATTGAAGTCCACCAAAAAGAAGTGTAAATGGTTCTTCGCCAACTGAACAAATTTATTTAACTTCACACACAAGAAAAATACAAATTAAAAGTACACTCAGATATCATTTCTCACTTTTAGATTGGCAGGAATCCAAAAGTTTGACAATAGTCCTGTGAAAGGGCTGGAAAGAAACAGGTGGTGTTCTGTCCATTGATGGTGGGAGCACAAAAAGTTACAGCCCTGTGGAGGGCAACTGGGCAAAACCTAACAGAATCACAGATTCATTTACTCTTTGATCCAGAAATCCCCCTTTTAGTGCTCTTAATATTATGCAGCCAAAGTACAAAATAGCTTATGTAGAAGCTTTCCATATTAGTATTTAAAAAAAATTCTAGCACTGTTTTTAATAAGAAAAAATGGAAACAACTCATATTTCCAATCAAAGAAGACACACTGAATAAAATAGGGCCATCCTAATAAAAGAGTGAGAAAGATTCTCTGTACTGACCTAGTTTTTTTCCAAGATTTATTGTTAAGGGAAAAAGAAAGCAGTAGACTCATGAATACTATTTTTAACTTTATTTTAAAAAAAAAAGACTCATGAACACTATTTGTAACTTTATTTTTAAAAAAGAGGGGAGTGTATATGTATGTACAAATATGTATATATGTTTCATAAGTGTACATATATATGCAAAAAACCACAGAAGATTAATTGGAAAGGTATGAAAATAGTTCCTTAGAGGAGGAAAAAAGAAGGAGGGCTTTGAGCTGAGTATTCTTTTAATACACTTTTGACTTTTGAAAAATGAAAATGTTGTACTTATTTAAAATGCACAATTAAATCAAAATAAAAAGAAAATAATACAGTTGAAAAGGACCTCAGACAAATGAGCCAAATTAAATATCAAATTATAATTACACTGAGAAAATAATTATTTCATAAGACTTTCATATAAATAACTATATGAATATTATTAGAAACCAAAATTTTAATTGTAAGAGAAAAGCAATGTGAGAATTAAATTAATACATTTAAGTAAATTCCGGTAATGTTCCATTTGAGTTGGAAATATAAAAATCTGAAGTCATGATATATATGATTTATATAAATCTGAATATTGATACATGTTAAGATTTAATATATATCCATATAATAGAAAACATATTTTTTCATATATATATTTATATCTCCTAACTCTGGCCACTGAAATGGCTTAAAAGCAATGACACCCTAAGAGCAGTGAGAACCATCACCCAGTTTGGGCTTCTAAATTTCTGGGTTCACTATTGCTTGGAGAAATGGCTAATTCCAGACCTGGGACAGGGAAAGTACAAGGTGACCTTGGGACTTCTGGAGTCAGAAAATAAGGATGAATTCAAAGACTAAAGGAGTTCTGCTGAAATGACAAGGATACCAAACTGCTAGAGCTCCTGTTGAACAAATGTGGGTAATTTTGAGCACCAAAAACCTAATAATTGTAATTGGTTGGAACACACTGATAACATTAAAATACACATGCCTTCAATGATAATGAATAAAGGGAAAAAACAACAGTAACAACTAATTTGATATTATGTCATTCCTTTTTTTGAAAATTGGTAATTAAAGGGACAAATTAAGTAATTATTAAGCATTTTTACTAGAAACTATGGATCAAGATATTCAGATAGTTACAGTTGATAAGATAAATCTCTCTTTTTAAAGAAAAATGACAGCTAGTAAATGTTATTTTTAAAAATTACCATTTTTCAACGCTGAGTTAAAATAGGTACGTAGCATAATGAATGTTAAAAATATTAGATGAAAAGTTGCCTAGGATCTGAGTTTTTGCCTAATGCCAAAGTATCACCCAGTAGATTACTTGCTAATCGCAAAGGGGGAAAAATACACTGGAAAGATCTGGCTGTCACCACCTAAATCTACTGATGATATGTAGCATCATTGATGGTGGGAACTAGAGGTTATGTTTTCTTTTGTGAGATATCACCTAGAAAATATTCCTGCCCAAAATGATTAACCTGAATCCAATCAAGTTCTTCTATCTTTCTAGTGCTTCTAAACTTAGTTGATTGTTTCTTTGTGATGTCAATTAACTTATGATTTTATCCTCTGGATGTCCTGCAAACTGGAAATGCATATAAGGGTTTAACTGTAGTGCAATAAGCCCAATCTCCTCAATGTTATAAAATAGAATTTCTGCTAGGAGAGATAGGGAATTTGCATTTTTAGTAAGCTCATCAGATGATACTTAAGAGTTACTATCATGCAACATTCTTGAGCAGAGTATATATTCTTAGTGAAGAATATCGACCCTGGCAGTTGGATGAAATTAGGAAACATCTGCAATACTTCAGGTAAAAGGAAGACATGAATTAGGGTGGTAAAAGTGACCACAGAAACATCATAAATCATCAAGTTTAGTTTAATTAAGCATTATCATATTATGTTTATCCTTTTTGTTGTCGTTAAACAGGAACAACTGGAATATCAGGCGAACCGACTACACTGGCAGGAAGAACCTCTGAAATGCCAGGCAGTGAGTTTGAGTTGGGATTTAGAATCCAGTTAATGGCTAAATGATAACAGAAACTTATTCATTCAAATCAATTGTATTGATCAGAAACAAAGCTAGTGAAATACTCAAAGGGATGAATGATGGGAATGTTTAAGAATATTTAATATTCTTAGGTTTAATATTTGCCTTGATTTCCTAGAAATTTTAGAACTCCGTGTGATCCCAGCTGCTTTTGTATCTTGACCAGGCCCAGTGGATGAATATGTGGAAGCTACCACTGGAGCAGACAGTGGAAGCACAGTTGGAATCTCAAGTTCTGCAGTCACTGACCTTGGAAACCCAACAGGTAAAATAAAGCACATCTTGATATTGAGCAATGGTCAAACACAAAGATCTTATAAATAATTATGAGAAGTCCAAGTGAGTTTTTTTTTAAAGGAGTTAATTAGAGGAGTAATGATTGAGGAAAATTCTATCAATCATAAAATAAGTTTAATAATGAACTTTTACCAAAAAGCATTTACAGCGTAGCCACAATCTATAGGCAGAAACTTGTTATTTTACAAATTAGGTACAACTGGAAGATTGGATGCAACAATCACTTTGACTTCAAGTGAAGTCACGTTTGGAGCATCATTCATATCTAAAATCATGTCTAACTACGGAAATTTGAGCTCTCCCATAAACATTTGATTTAACAAAAGAGATTGTGAAGAATTCAGTGTAAACAAATTAATGGAAACACTCATCTTTTGGCAAAACAATATTTATTTAGAGCTCAGTATTGTGCCAGAGATACCACAGGATGGTCCTGTGCTTATAAAGTTTAGAATTTTTAAATGAAAATAATATTTAAACATATAACAAAAGCAAAATGTAATATAGCAATAGGGAAAATGGTACAGATTAGACCAGAATGTACTCTGGAATTACAGCTTCTAGGTAATTCTAAGAAGAGGAACGTTTACTGTTACAGGCATATGTAAATTTCATGTTTTAAATAAGGATTGTGATGTTGTAATCAATGCATAACTGGATTAATGTATATGCCTTTTCTGAACAAGGAGTCCTAATATCACTGAACTGAGTAAATATTGTGGGTATAAAATAAATATATTCTGGCAGAGATTTCCAAGCTTGTTTCCAGTCACAGTGATTGAATAAAAGCCAATTCCTTAAACTGTTTTATCTGAGAAATCTCAGGCACACCTGTGATATCCCCTGAAACAACCCCTGGAGCTCAGGATAGCAGCATCCTTGGGGAACCAGGCATTGGAACCACCAGGCCTGGAAAGTCAGGCAAGCCTGGACATGATCCCTTAGCATTTCCCAACCATGCCTTCCCCAGCAGGGTATGATGTGGACTAAAGGTCAGACTGTTATGACTATTAGAATTTAGAGCAAAGTAAAAGCATAAGGAAGATGCCCTTAATGCCCTCTACTTTAAAAATCTTGGTCTATGCTACCAGTGCTGAATAGAGACCAGCACAATTTACAGCAGTGAAACTAAACCTTTGTCACTGATTACCGGGGACCCAGGCAGTGTTTGTCATCTCAACCATCAGTACCCCTGTGAGTGAAAATATAAATGCAGCTTCAGCCATAGCAGTGACAATCTCTGGAAGCAAAACAGGTAGGTAAAATGGAGGACTCGATGCTTACCCAGGAACAGTATGGGGCATTCTGTAGCACTGCTCCTTAGAACCAACATCATGTGATTAAGCCAGTTAACCTCTCTAGCCTCTATTTGCTTATCTTTAATATGTAGGGCATAGTTATCTACTTAGAGAGATAGTGATGAAGATCCACTGAAATAATGTATATGTCAAAGCACATTTAAAAAAATACGTAAAGGAAAATTAATATTATTGATATAGAAAAATGGACATTTTAATAACTTTCATTTGCAAGTTAATTGAGTGAGAATTGGCTATCTCATAGTTTAAGAAATTCTGAAAATGAGCCCTATCCACATTTTCCTTTGAACCAGTTACACCTGGAACATCATCTGGGTTGCTACAAACTCTTCCAATAAACCAGATGAGATTAGCTGAGCACAAAAAAATCACAAAAATCTGGGTCAGTGTGGAAACTTGTTTATAAAAGGCTTTTCAGTAGTATATTTGTTCAGTTGAAAATCTTTCCTGCTTGAAATCAGAGCACTGTTATTCAAATATCATGTAAACCAATTAAGATTGCCATTGCATTCTTTGTCTTTTATTATTTATGCTGCTCTATTGGGGTATCAGTTAATGCAACACCGAAAGTCATAGATAAGCCAATGATCTGATAGATCATGTATTTTCCATTAGTAAACAAGACTAATGCAGCATTTTAAGTCTGATATTGCTGCAAGGCCAATTTAGAAATCACTGGAATGCTACTTGATACAACTGTTGAGGAGTTAAGGAAAGAAAATAATTGTGATGATCTAACATTTCATATTATGTTTGGTCCTTAAATATTGTTTTTAAGTTACGAGCTTTTTAGGATGTATTTTCTCATTCAGTTAGCACAATTTCTTTCTCTTAGTTCTATATTTCGCCACACAAAGTCGCTTAGACAACAAGCAAAATAATTAAATAAAGGTTAAAAATATAAAATATAATTACAAAATAATATGTTGATTATTTTTGTATTAAATTGATTGATTATATGATTTTCTCATCATCTAAATAGGCTTTTGAATAATAGGCTATTGAACATTACAAGGTTATTAGGTATCCACAAGTATATTCACATTTTTTTTTTTTTTTGAGTTGTAGTCTCACTCTGTCGCCCAGACTGGAGTGCAGTGGCCACTCCCGGCCACCGCAGCCTCGGCCTGCTGGGCTCCGGCGATCCTTCCTCCTCAGCCTTCCGAGTAGCTGGAATTACAGGCGCGCGTTACCACACCTGGCTAATTTTTTTATTTATTGTAGAGATGAGGTCGCGCCTGCCCAGGCGGGTCTCGAACCTGCAGGCTCAGTCAATCCACTCTCCTCAGCCTCCCAAAGACGCGGGATTACAGGCTGAGCCACCGAGTCTGGCTTATATTCACATTTTAAATTGAAATTATTACTTTAAAATATTTTAGAAAAAATACTATATTTAGTATTCCAAAATGTTTGTGGTCTAAAATATTAACACATTTTCCCTTATGTTCTTTATTGAACAAAGATCTAGAACTTTGATGATCAGCTTTCCTCGTTTCTTAGAATAATTTGATAAATAACATTGCTTACTAAATTGCCTAAAATTCAGAAAATATTTTGTGCCCTCTGCGCATTGGTTTTTGAAAAGCTTTCTTTTCTAGAATTTACAAATTGGACATGTCTGTACCTCATTGGCTCAAAGTTCACTTGTTGAGGAAATATTTAAACTATGCACTGGATTATAGGGGAGGAAATATAATTTCTTTCCCTCATGGGTTCTAAGTTGAGGAATTCACTTCAAAACAGAAATCCAGAATAACAGGCCAGGCTCGGTAACTCAGCCTGTAATCCCAGCACTTTGGGAGGCCGAGGTGAGTAGATTGCCTGAGCCTGCAGGTTCGAGCCCAACCTGGGCAACTTGTCTCTACAATGAATCAAAAATTAGCTAGGCATGGTAGTGAGTGCCTGTAAATCCGGCTACTTGGAAGGCTGAGGCAGAAGGATCGCTGGAGCTCAGCTGGTCGATGCTGGGGTGGCCGTGAGTGTGCCACTGAACTCCAACCCGGGCGACAGAGGGAGACTCCAACTCAAAAAAAAAAAAAAAAAAAGAATAACAAGAGATAAACCATCAGACATTTATTAAAACATGTTGTAACCATTACATGGGAGAAAACTTAGTTCAAAAGTATTTCTCTCTTAAGGCGGTTGCTTAGGAGACCTCCTTAAATAATATTTTAACAAAGGACGAATAATGCTATATAGTGACAAGACAGAGAAAAGAGCCTCTTCAAACTTCCAAAAGGCAAGAAAATGTGGGAAGGTAAAATTATGAGAAGAGTAAAGTCTGCTCCTAGATCCTGTTGTGCCACTGTCTCTGAGCTGATAAGGAAGCCTTGAAAGGGGTCCTGTCTTTAGTTAGGAAAGGCAAGAAAATCTGTATCTTTGTAAATTGCTGTCCTGTCATTAGGCAAGCAGATGGAGGGGTCAAATATTCCTCTGCATGTTAGCCTTTAACAATCTTCAGTATGAGTTTTGTTTCCTTCTGCTTACTAAATGATGTTTGTGTTTCACAATACTTAACTTGTTCAAGGGACTAATGATACAGATTAAAAATAAATAAATAAATAGATTGGTAAATACTTCTCAGAACATAGGCCAAAAAACCAAAACCCAAAACAACAAACAACAATTTGCTTTCAAAATGTAATTGGTAGAATGAAAGAATACCGTACTTACATCTTGTTTTTTTAATCAGATATATTGAGTACAGCTTAAATGATAAAATAAAGATATGAAGCAGTAATTAACCATTGCATATTATCATTTGTGAGTCATCTTAGCCTATTTTTTTAAACACATTTTTTATTTTAAAATTGTGGGGTACAGTTAAAGGTTAGGTATACAAATATGCATTGCTCAGACACCCTTATTGATAAGGGGTCTCTCCCCGTCCCCAGACAGATATTGACTACCATTAATCCCACCTTCCTTCCCCTTCTTACCGCCCCTCATAGTTTCCCGCCACTGTCAATCCTTTTCTTATAGTATTATGATAGATGTTCAAGATCCACTATATGAGTGAGAACATGTGATAACTCAGATCTGTGTTTCTGTGAGAAATCACTCAGTATTATAGACTTTAGTTCCATCCACGTTGCTGCGAAATTCATGATTTTGTTCTTTTTTATGGCTGCATAGTATTCCATCGTGTATATATACCACATTTTTTTAATCCAGTCCTCTTTTGATGGACAGCATGGTTGGTTCCAGGTTCTTGTTATTGTGAACAATGCTGCGATAAACATATGTGTGCAGATATCTTTTTTATAGAGTGATTTGAGTTCTTCAGGGTATATTCCCAGTAGAGGGATTGCAGAGTCATATGGGAGGTCGATATTTAGAGCTTTTAGGAATCGCCACATTACTTTGCATAGAGGTTGCACTAGTTTACACTCCCACCAACAGTGTAGCAGTGTTCCCTTTTCACCATATCCTCTCCAGCATCTGTTATTTTTTGAATTATTGATAATTGCCATTCTGACTGGAGTTAGGTGGTATCTCAGTGTAGTTTTAATTTGTATTTCCTTGATGATTAGTGAGGTTGAACATTTCTTCATGTGTCTGTTGGCCGCTTGGATGTCTTCTTTTGAGAAATGTCTGTTCATATCTTTTGCCCACATTATAATGGGGTTGTTTGTTTTTTTCTTTTCAG